ATAGTACCTGTTCAGCAGCAGGCTGCATCAACACTTGCCACACCCACAGGCTTTGGCTATTGTCATTCAGTCACTTTGTCAGCCAATTTCCAGATTATGGCAGTTCGTTTCCCAGCAGTTCCCCAAGCATGCCTACCAGCACCCCAGCACACCTCTCACTAGCCCTGCTGCTCCACGCCACCGACACCACTTGGAGAGCCCTCTCCTGAGACAGTGTGTTACCCCTACCCGCTCCCATCAGCTGTCTCCATGATTCAGAAGGCAGGGCCCTTGTGGCCTATGCCTGCCTGCCTCCTTTAGGGTTGGGGTACAGCAGCTAATAGAGCAAAACAACCCTTGATTTTCTCTGGGATAGGAAATAGCTGGGAAGGGCAACAAAAACAATTTATGTTCTGAAATATTCATCCATCCATGAAGAAATGAAAAGTTCACAAAATACATGAAATCAAAACATTCTCTTTACTATGTAATTTATTTTTTCCTTTAGAGAATTTTTGAAAATTTTCAATTTCTAAAACATGGTTTAGATATTAATATTCGGGAAATATTTTAAAAATAAAGTTTTCCAGTTGAGAAAGAGTTTATTTACCTAGCTGATACACACTTTTTCTTCATTCAAATTTTGGCACGGTCTAGTGTACCCAGATGTTTCTATCATCACAAGTAACTTTTTAACCATTTATGGCAATTCAGAAAACTGCATCTGGTACTTCTTATATGTTTCCTCCAAAATCACCACTTCTGCCAAAAATATCTATTAAAAAATCCCTCAAAAGACTTGGGTAACAAAGCGTCTGGGAATGTATTTGGCCTATGTTCAACAGGACATTATATGTTTTCTTGTATAAATCATGTTCTGGAAAATGGAATGTCTTTATTTAAAATAAAAACTCTACTATCCAGCACTGTAAAGGTAGTTCCATGAAAAACATTTTAAGTTCTTTTTATACTTCTAGTTCTAAAATGTCTTTGGGCTTCATATTACAGCAGATTTTACTGGGACTGATTTTATACATTATTCTACATTTTTTTTTCCCCAAAAGAACTACTCTGTGGAAACTTTCCATTCTTAATCATAGATTTTTCAAAAAGCAATCACTAAATAATTTTTTACAAAAAAACAAGTGACAAGGTTCTTTAAGATACAGATACAAATCAGCAGACCAAGATTTTATAACTAAATCGGAATTGTGTATGAAAAGGTATTTTTCTTTGCAGACCATGATATTCACCACTTATGACTATAAATTGCATTTTCTTATCAATAACAATTTCACAAAAACTCTCAATAACTCAGAATTGTTCATGGAAGACATCACACTGTGTCACGGACCTGCGTGGGAAGGTCTCGGCACGGGGGAAGCAGCCTGTGTCTCAGGAAGGACGTGGGCACGCTGACGAGGAAGAGGACAGCGGCCACGGCCCTGCTGCATGCCAGCAGGACTCACCACAGCACCCGGAGGGCTTACAGACTGCTCTCCTCCTTTTTTTGCTCATCGAGGAGGAGATGGCTTTCATTCTATTTTTTAAAAGATGTATTTAGGGGCCCGGCGCGGTGGCGCAAGTGGTTAAGTCCTCGCCTTGCACGCCCGGGATCCCATATGGGCGCCGGTTCTAATCCCGGCAGCCCCGCTTCCCTTCCAGCTCCCTGCCTGTGGCCTGGGAAAGCAGCAGAGGACGGCCCAAAGCCTTGGGACACTGCGCCCGCGTGGGAGACCCGGAGGAGGCTCCTGGCTTCGGACCGGCATAGTATCGGCCCGTTGCGGCTCACTTGGGGAGTGAATCATCGGACGGAAGATCTTCCTCTCTGTCTCTCCTCTCTGTATATCCGCCTTTCCAATAAAAAATAATAAAAAAATAAATCTTTAAAAGATGTATTTATTTATTATTTGAAAGGCAGAGTTACAGAGAGAGGAGAGAAACAGAAATCTTCCACTCACTGGTTCGCTCCCCAAGTGGCTGCAATGGCCAGAGCTGAGTTGATCCAAAGTTGGGAGCCGGGAGTTTCTTCTCTGCTAGTGACATGGGTACAGGGACTCAAACAGCTGGTATATATCAAACTGGTGTGTTCATATGGGACGCTGGCCCCCGTAGGTGCTTAATACGCATGCCATGAAGCTGGTCCCTAAACAGTTTTAAACTTGTAGCTGAAAGCCTACCTCTGGCATACAGTTCTACTGAACTTTCTTTCCTTCAATAAATGTCACAGGAGAACTCAATGAAATTCCAGAGGAATTAAAAAAGTACTATCTTATTTTTTTTAAAGATTTATTTATTTTTTATTACAAAGTCAGATATACAGAGAGGAGCATCTTCCATCGGATGGCTCACTCCCCAATCGACCACAATGGCCGGTGCAGGAACCTCTTCCTGGTCTCCCACATTGGTGCAGGGTCCCAAGGCTTTAGGCTGTCCTCCACGGCTTTCCCAGGCCACATGCAGGGAGCTGGATGGGAAGTGGAGCTGCCGGGATTAGAACTGGCACCCATATGGGATCATGGCAGGTTCAAGGTAAGGACTTTAACTACTAGGCCACAATACCAGGCCCAAAAAAGTACTATCTTAAATTACTAATCCACAATGTAGCTAAGCCACATGTCATTTCTTTTTTCTTTTCCAAATGACTTTTTTAAACAAATTATATATATATAAATTATATATATATATACAAATATATATATAATTTGACTTTCAGCTCTGCTTCTGTTGCAACTCCCTGCTAATGTGCACCCTGAGAAGCATCACCCGCTGGCTCCAGTGCTCAGGTGTCTGCAACCCACATGACAGACTGGATGAAAGTCCAGGTTCCTAGCTTCTGCCTGAACCAGACATAGCTATTGTAGACATCTGAGGAATGAACCAGTAAATAGAAGATTTATCTATCTCTCTGCTCTTAAAAAAAAAAAAAGAAAGAAAAAAGAAAAGAAAAAGGAAGGAGTTAGTGTCATGGCATAACAGGTTAAGCTGCCACCTGTAATGCTGGCATCCCATAGGGTTTGAGTCCTGACTGCTCCACTTCTGATCGAGCTCCCCTAATGCACCTGGGAAAGCAACAGAGGATAGCCCAAGTCTTTGGGTCCCTGCACCCATAGAGGAGACCCAGATGAAGTTCCTGGCTTTAGTCTGGCCTGGGGAGTGAAACAGTGGATAGAAGATTCATCTCTCCTTTAACTCTGCCTTTTAAATAAGTAAACAGATCAATCAACAAATAAAAACACAACTAGTCTCAAACAGCTCTTAACATGACACCAGTCGCTTCTCATTAAGTACTTAACCCTGGCCAGGCATCCAGCCTCATCCTTTGAATACAAGGCCTGCAGATATGCTCAATCCACAGCCACAGCTGCAGACACAACACTCACTTCCAGAGGCTGACATCAATCAAATGCTTCAACACTGGGCTCACACACAATAGTTCTCTTTTCACAGGTCTGACCAATCGGAATCACCACATCTCTGGTAGCAATGACATCAGCAGCCATTGTGAATAAAATACTTTTTTCTAAAGTGAGTTTCCTAATATTGTTTAAATGTTGAAACAGTGTATCAACTAATCATTAGACTACAGATACTCAGAAACAAAACAATACTTTGCCTCTATAACTTAAATCACTATGTACTTTCTTGCATCAAAAGCCAATCTGTCTTTTTCAAATTTGTTTCTCCTGGCAAATATTTTGGCTGTCTGGCCAAGTTTTGTGTTAAAAATAAAGTACAGTATTACAACATCAATCAACATTTAAAGCACTTAATGATCCAGGAAAGAAAATATACAAGAGTTCTTTTGAAACAATCAGGGCAATCAAATTTTTGTTTATGTTATCAAATCAAAAGTGCAGCTTTGAGAAACAAAATCACATTTGTGTTTGGAGATATAAAAGTGATACCAAACACTTAGCTAATGTAAGGAAACAGACCACTGAGAAGCCACAGCAGAACCAACTGCCTCTTCATTCCCCTTCCTGTCTGGGCAGTACTGGCTTCCTGCCTGCCATTTCAAACACCAGTTGTACAAGCATAATTCCAGATTTTTCTCTAGCTCATAGTGAGTGCTCCAGATGAACCCTATGTATTTATGATAAATAATAACTGCGATTTTTTTTTTGCTTTTACACAAAGAGGAACCTAGACCAACTAAACCTTATTGCAAATCTCTTACTTTGTATTCCTACAAACCTTGCATCTCCCCCTCCCTCTGGATTCAGCCTCTGTCCCCAGCACCCAGGCACCAGGATTTCTTACCTACATTGCCGGAGGATCCAGGCACTGTGTGTACTCCTTAACATTACATCTGTTATTTTTTTTTTTTTTGGTCTATTTCTAATTTTTACTTTATATGATATGCTATGTATTTTTCAACTCAGTTATACATCTTGCTAGTGCCTACTTTGGACACGTAAGGTTGATGCAGTCCGAGGCTCCAAGACCACCTTTCCAATAACCTTGAATCCTTACCTAGACATTCAGTCTTAGAACAGCTTCAACTTCATGGTTGCCTGAAATCAGACTCAAGGACCCACCACGTTGTCAACTGGTTCAACCAAGCACTTGGAACAACCCAGTAACCTCAGGTCTTAACCCCAAGCACAGGACACACCTTAAGGAGCTGACAGAGAAAGCTGAGAGAGACGATGAGTGTGTGGTGTGAAACAGCATCTACAATTCTAAAAACTGAGTATTGCCACACAAGCAAATGCTGTTCCTATCTACGAACACAATCCTAACAAGTAAGATGGCTTTCGACATGAACTGACCAGGAAGAGCCTAACTGGGAACAATCGCATCAGCCTAAGTCAACTCTCCTGGTGATCCACAGAGTGACAACTCACACCAAGGACTGTCTCACCATCCAGGAAAACAAACTCAACATAGTCACAGGAGATGGACACGGAAGTCCCCGCTGGAACTGGTCTAATCCCGCTTTGCCAATGCGTGATGTAACATGACACCTGACTGAGCACTTACTGAGGCAAGAGGAGGAAATGAAAAGGCGAACCTACTTAGGTTTTTAAGTTGTTCAATTTCTCCTTCCTTGAGCTCTAATCGTTCTGTCAGTCTTGATGCTGACTCCAATGCAGCATTTGCTTCATCCAAACGTTCCTGAAGGAGAAAAGCTTATTTAAAAAGTAGACTTAGGGCCCGGCGCGGTGGCGCAAGTGGTTAAAAGTCCTTGCCTTGCACGCCCGGGATCCCATATGGGCGCCGGTTCTAATCCCGGCAGCCCCGCTTCCCTTCCAGCTCCCTGCCTGTGGCCTGGGAAAGCAGTCGAGCACGGCCCAAAGCTTTGGGACCCTGCACCCGCGTGGGAGACCCGGAAGAGGCTCCTGGCTTCAGATTGGCATAGTATCGGCCCGTTGCGCTCACTTGGGGAGTGAATCATCGGACGGAAGATCTTCCTCTCTGTCTCTCCTCTCTGTATATCCGCCTTTCCAATGAAAAAATAATTAAAAATAAATCTTTAAAAAAAAAAAAAAGTAGACTTAAAGCGTGCTTCGTAACCCAAAGTGCCAAGACAGCTCTGAGCCAGTTCCTCACGCCACAGCTGGGGATGTGATACCTGTACGACCTCATGCTACTAAGAAACCCAAGGTGGAGCCCACTTTTAAAAAAGCCTTTTTACAGGAACCAAAGGAAAAGAGAAGATGCTATGAAAAGACATCTTGAGGATTCAAGTCAAAAAAATACGTAAGTTTTATATGGCTTTGGAATTGCTTCTTGCAGATTTCTAAAATATCTACCCGTGCCAAGACAACGTCAGTGTGCTCTCGTTGCCCTCCGTGTCCACTCCTGAGCACCTGCTCACGTCAGGGCCAGCCTGGGGCAGGACACGCAGCAGCCACTGAAGCATGGCTTGAGAGATCATTTGCAAGACAGGGACCCCACGAGCGGCCATTCACGAGTGAATGAAGTCTACAAGAGCAAACTGTCGTGACATACTTGTAAGGAAGTCACTTTTACTTGCAGGTCTTCGGCCTTGTCCTTCCACTCGGTTATAAGCTGCTTCTGTTTTTCTACTTCAGCAGAATATCTAACTTTTTCCTCTAAAGAAAAAAGAAAAGTTACATTAGTATTCTGTTAACGAGTGATAAAGTTGGAAGCAAACCACCTGTAATTTTAAATCAACAGAAACAGTTCAGTAAGGAAAGACACGTGCTTGGGTGGTGACCCGGGCAGCCCTGACCGGGCGAGTCGGTGTCGGCTCTGCCTCTCGCTTCTCCCTCCTGCCTTTTCATGGACTCTTTTCTCCCTTCACATCTCCACTCGAGCTTTTCCTCTGTGGCAAAACTTTTTCTTTATAGCCTCTCCACAGCAGATTTAGAACTTTTTCTGTAGTTATAACCAAGCAGGGACATACAGGAACAAACTTAAATTCTGCTTGGACACACAAGTATGAAACCCTGTTTTGCTATTACTCTCAGCCCTCTGTTCACCACCCACACTAGCAGGTACGTCATGGACAGGAACTAGCAAGTGAGTGAATCAACAAATGGGTGATCAAATGAGCTGAAGTGGGTTCCTCTCGGGATGGGAGGCGGAACGTGAAAAAGCACCACAAGTCTCAAGATAAACTCTACAGAAAGGTGCTCTCGATGGGAGAAAGTGCCTCTCCAAGGACACGGCAGTCAGGGGCAGGTTGGTGAATGTCTCCAATAATCATGGATGAGTAAAACTCTGTAAAGGGCTGAGCCTCCAGCTGGGAGCTCAAAACGCACCTGTGTGCTCCAAGAGGAGCTCTCTGCACCCTGCCTCAATTCCCACCTTAACTGGCAGTGGGGCACCAAGACAAACTTTACCAATACTCAATGTTGTCATTTCTGTTTTAACTGTAAAAGCAGTCTCCCGGACTTGATGGCTCTTGCTTTTCGCTGCCCTCACCACACGGGGTAAGCTCTCACAGGCCTGCCCGGGCTGAGCCATGGCGGATCTAAGCAGACGGCCTTACCATGCTGGAAGTGCTCAATCACCATCTGCAGGTTCCTGATGGACACAGAGGACTGTTTCAGCTGTTCCTGGGTCGCAGAGAGCTGTATGGCACCCTCGTCCCTCTGCCTGGAGACTGTGCTCAGCTGCTCCTGTAATGACTCTATTTGCACGTTGGCTTGATGCCTTCAAACCAAAACAATAACAGGCAAATTGCTTCTGTCTGCTTAGATACTTCAGTAGAAGAAACAACTTTATGGAAGCATCTTCCTACATATTTTTATGGTGGTAAAATATGCACAATATTTATCATGTTAGCGTTTGTCCAGGGGACAGTCCAGGGGCAGCAAACATGTTCCCATTGCTGTGTCACCATCATCAGCATCCACTCCTCATGAGCCTTTCCATCTCCTTGAACTGGCATATTCATTACTTAAGTTCCCCTTCCCCTGGTATCGACCATTCTACTTTACTCTATGATTTTGCATTAAATTCAAATCAGATTTCAAAGAAACTTCTAGATTCCCTCAGATAGTGCATTTTGTTAATTCAGTCATCTTTCTGCAAAAGAAATTTTGAGGGCTGGTGTCATGGGTTAGTAGGCAAAGCCTCTACCTGAGGGGCCAGCATTCTATACAGGCACCCAGTTCAAGTCCCAGATGCTCTACTTCTGATCCAGTTCCTACCTAGTGGTCTGGGAAAACAGCAAAGGATGGCCCAAGTGCCTGGGCACCTTTAAGACCCTCTGCCAATGTGGGAGACTAGGAAGAGGCTCCAGGTTCCTTTTTCCAAACTGGCCAGCTCTGGCTCTTGCAGCCATTTGTGGAACAAAACACAAAGTGGAAGATTTCTTCCTCTGTCCCCACTTTTCTTTCTGTAACTCTGTCTTTTAAATAAAAATAAATATTTAAAAAATAATTTTGTACAAAGCACTTTTTAAAATAGATCTATGTATCTGAGAAAGTTACGCAGACAGAGGGGGCTTCCATCTTGGCTAGTTCACTCACCAGACAGCCACAATGGTGAGAGCTAGAACCTGGGGCTCTCCCGAGGGAGGCAGGAGGTCAAACACAGGACATCAGCAGAGAGCGGGACTGGAAGTGCAGCTGCCAGGACATGAACCAGTACCCATACAGGATGCTGGCATCACGCAGCAGCTTCACCTGCTCCGTCACAATGTCAGTCTCTGGGCAGACCTTCTAAACACTAAGAACTGGGGTCAGGCATGGAGCACGGCAACTGAGTCGTTGGCAGGGCCGCCTGCAGCTCACACTGAGTGCCTGGGTTGAGTCTGAGTTCCGCTTCCATTTCCAGCTTCCTGCTACAATGTGTGCAGGGGAGGCAGCAGATGCCACACAGATGGGAAGCCCTGCCGGAGCTCCTGGCTCCTGGCGCTGGCCTGGGCCAGTCCTGGCTGGGGCAGACATGTGGGGAGTTATAAGCACTGTCTTTCAAATTAAATGAAATGATAATAATAAAAAGCCTTGATAATTAGGTAAATAAGAAATGTTTAGCTTAATTTACAGACTAACAACTTGTGTTTCTAGGCTAAACTCTAAGTTGTAATTCCATATATACACAGGTTCCTGTCCTGGCTGCTCTACTACTTCCTCTTTTTTTATTTAAGGTTTATTTATTTTTATTGCAAAGTCAGATATACAGAGAGCAGGAGAGGCAGAGAGGAAGATCTTCTGTCCAATGATTCACTCCCCAAGAGGCTGCAACAGCCAGAGCTGCGCCAATCCGAGGCCAGGAGCCAGAAGCCTCTTCCAGGTCTCCCACATGGGTGCGGGGTCCCAAGGCTTTGGGCCGTCCTTGACTGCTTTCCCATGCCGTAGGCAGGAAGCCAAACAGGAAGCCACCAGGATTAGAATCAGCGCTCATGGGATCCTGGCATATGCAAGGCAAGGTTAGCCACAAGGCTACCGTGCTGGGCCCCCATCCACTTCTGATACAGCTCCTTGCTGATATGTTTGGGGAGGCAGAGGATGGCTTAAGTGCTTGGGGCCCTGCATTCAAGCAGGAGACCCAGAGGAAACCTCTGGCTCCAGATTTCAACCTGGCTTAGCCCTGGCTGTTGTAGTCATTTGGAGAGTGAACCAGTGAACAGAAGATCTCTCTCTGCCTCTGTCCCCTACCCCCTGCCGGCCCCAACTTCTATGTTCCTTTGTCAAACAATAAAATAAATTTTCAAAAACAGCTTAAAGTTGTAAGGCATCTCTAATGTCATTCTGTCCATCTCCCAACCTAAATAGGAATTTATTTCCTGATAGCGCCTTGATTTTGACACCTGCAGTGACAGGGAACTCTCGATTTCCCAAAGGCCACCCCACTGAAGAACTGCATGCGTTATCTGCTATTGCTATCTTTCCGCCTACCTTAAGTACTATAACCCCGACACCTGCCCCAACATGATCCAGCGGTCACAGCGAGCTTTATTTCTATGCAGCTACCAGGGTAAACCCCCTTCAAGTATAATGATCACATTCAAAACATCGCAATGGTTTTTCTAGCTTCTTAGTATCCAATTAAATTATTACTCAACAGCAATCTACTGGAGTCAAGAGCAACTCCTCTTGAAGAGAATTTGCCCACCAGCACCCTCTTGTGGATTAAGCATCAACTGGTAATCAGAAGATCCAAACTGGCCTCAAAGGTTCTTGGACTCAGTACTGCTGGTATGATGTTAAGAATGGCAGCACTCAAAAAGCCAGTAAATGCCAGGTGTTACTATTAAGTAAGGCTCAAAACACCGTAATCTAGCTTGCAGATATGAATTATTCATACAACAAATACTACCTATTAAACTATGTGCAAGAGATCCTGTGGGAGGGGTCATGTTGACACTCTATGGGACGGGCGGCAGTACAAATAGGGCAATCACCCTCAAGCAAAAAGTAAGTGCCCTATTAAGTATTCAAGCTATTATTTCAGTTCAAAGGAAAATCGCACCACGGTCCACATTGGATATGAGAGTGCAGCGCCTTGCATTTAATGGGATGGGGATAACAGGCAGCAGGGCTCAGATGTACTCATCAGGTGCAAGACATGCTACGGAAAAAAGAGCAGGACAGCAGACCGAACCACCGTGGCTTGGCTGCACGTGGACAGTGGTGCTGCAAGAAAACCTCCGGGGTCCATTTTCAACACAGGATGGAAAATTACTAGGAGCTGACTTGCAGATGCAGCAAAACTCACTGTGCTAACAGGTGTTATGGAATAACCAAATCACAAGAGAAAACTAAGGCACAGAGAGGGAGGAAGGTAACCGTGACTGAACAGCCCACAGCGCTCAGCCAGGAAGAAATGTGGAGCAGGGGCTGCGTGGGAGCTTATGCATGTCTGCCATGGCCGGTCCGGTGCCCGCCCTTCCGACGCTGACCCTGCAAGCCCAGAAGCAAGTCTCCCTCTCGCTGCCCTTCCCGACTCTGAACTCATCGCTCGAGTGGACAGCGGAGGACACCTTCCACAACACAGAGTCAAGACTGATTCTGAAAAAGAATTAAGATTTTAGCTCTGTTTCAGTGAGGTCATCCCTGACCCTTATTAGTACGGGTACACGAAAGGGGCTGAATAAGAAATTCTTTTGATTAAAGAGCATCAGGGCCTGAAAACTGCAAAGAAGAACCACAACACGCAATGTTTCTGCCCGAGAGTTTCGGCATTCCTGCCAATGTGAAGCATACACAGAAATGATCCTTCATTGTAATTCCTGTCTTGATTCTGAAGGTACAAAAATCCACCCTCCAAGGGCAGGGGAAGGGCTCACCCTTCGAACATCCTCACTGCTTCCTGAAATCTCCCACAGAAACATGCAGGGAAAAGAGAAAATGCTGTACAACCACTAGCAAAAGTATAAGTAGAGAGAATCTTTTTCTCAAAAATAACTGCAGTATAATTCCAAGTTTTAAAATGCTCCTTGATCTGCAAGCTTCATTTCTCAGAATGTACATTATGGAAATAGTTTGTCATCAACACAAAAATACACATGCCTGGGGATTTCCAGATCATACTCCCAGTTGTTCTAAAAAGTTCAAACACTGAGTGTCTGATAATAGCTCCACAAATACAAATTGTAAAAATACAGAAAGGATTATGCTGTGTGGGTGGAACTCTGTCACGGCATTTTCATTTGTGTGATTTTCCTGAAGTGGAGTATACGATGCTTCTGCAGTGAGAAAGATATTTTATTGGAAGAAATAAAATTTTAAAATATATTAGCAGAGACCTAGTCACCTAAAATGTCTCTTAAACTAAGCATCATTTAATTCTTCACACTGACCTAGCACTTTATTTATTTATCTTACCTTTATTCCCTCCTAATATTAGCATCTAGTTCAACCTTAGATTGATCAGCTGATGGACAAAAAAATACGAAATGAAATTAATTCTCTGTGAGCTGGACACAGCTAACTACAGCTGTCAGAATTCAGCCCCTACTGCTGGAACGGTAAGGGGCAATCACCCATAGTGACACTGACATTCAGAAAGTCTACTGGAGAGTCACAGACACGAGCCTGACCCAAGTACCTTCAGTGGGCCTGACCTCATCACCTGTCAAACAGAGCTAAGGCAGAAAAAACCGCCCAGTCGGACGCTCAAAACCGCCCAGTCGGATGCTCAAGAATTTTTTTCTTGAAGGTGAGGAAAACAAACGAAGGCCTCACCTGGCATTTTCCATCGCATTTGACGATGAAACTAGCTTTTTTTCCAAAACTGTGACTTTTTCTTTAAGTTTGGCCTCTCTCTGTTCAGCAGCCAAAATTTCCTTTGTGTAAGAATCTTCTGATTCTAACAGGTGGTTCCGCAGCCGCTCTAGTTCCTGGTTTAACCGTGTTTCTTTGTCATGTAAATGTCGAACCTAGAAAAGGACAATTCTTTACTTCTCTTCCACAAAAAGCTCCTGGCCACCAACCCTGCTGACAAGGCACTCTCTTACAAAAACCTCTTCCCATTATTCAAGTTAGTAACTGTACACTAATTTCTCATGCTGTAAGATGTATTTATGCTTAGGAGAAAATTCTCCTGAAATCCTCTTGACCATTCATCTGGCAGGTGTACTCTGTGCAAGCTCCCACAGGAAATGAGATTGAATACTGTTTCAGTAAGCCTCATTTTATTCATACTTTGTAAGTGGGAAATTCACATACATGATAAACCAGGGTTTTCCCTTTTGAGAAAAAAAAAGGCACCTTGGGAGGTCAGAATCCCTCAACCACACACCAGAGGAAAACTAAGAAATGCCCTGTGACTCCTCACCCTCCCGTTCTCACCCCGTTCCCTTCGAGAGAAAGCATACCTCATTTTGGAAGGCGCTGGCTTCCATCTGCTTCTGCTTCAGGGCCAGCAGGACTTGGTCTCTCTCCTGCTGGACCGTTACTGCCTTCTCCTGCATCGACTTAACCGTATTTAAAAGTTGATTTAATTCCCCGGCCTTGCCCTTTAGGAGAAAAAGTGGCTTTAGTGTTAAGAGAAAAATACACTGTTTTCTTCATCAAAAAAAGTTAAAGTCAAACAAAAACCAAGGAAAGCTCAAGAAACTGCACCAGTGGAGGGAGGGAGCGGAGGGAAGCGGGGGTTGAGGTGGCATGCTGATGGCACCGCAGTGACACTCAGCAGCGGCTTAACCGGATCTGTGCGCCACAGGACCTGCTGCAGAAAGGGAAATGAAGAGCCCACAGTGTGACCTTAGCGCACTGCAACACTCCACAGCGGAAGTTTCCGGAAATGTGTGAGATAGCTGAGAATTGTCTCCACACCATCCCTGCAATTATTCTGTAAATCTTACACTATTCTAAATGAAAAGGCATGTCTATGGGAAATGGCTGAAAAAGAATTCAAAAAACAAAAACCCCGTTAAATTTACCAAGGTGTTCCTAGTCTGCAAGTCGTACCAAGATCTATGTGCACCTGCGTGCATTCATCCGCCACCCTCACCGCAGTTAAACAAAGCACGGACTGAGCGTCAGCAAAGGAATACACAGCCTACTGCGAAAGAACAGCTGGGCATCAACTCGACAAAAGTTAATTTTGAACCCATCTTGCTAGAGAGCAATGCGAATTTCTTCTTAGCTGTATCCCACACAGCACAATACATTAAAGAGAACAGTGAAGGGAATACTTCACTGTAAAAGCAAGGCTATGAATTTCAGATGACAGCTGGAATTTTTAAAAAGTACAGCCAACTCTTCTCATACAAGCTTTCCATTTCTTTAAAGCACAACAGATCCCCGGGACAACAGGAACTCAAACATGGAGCTATCTGTTACCTTTATCTCCATTCTCCCTCCTTGATAAGAAGGTATTGTCCTAATAGTTTTACAATTTAATTTTTTTTCCGTGTTACAGAGAACAAATGACTGAGAAATAAAACAGCTCTGCTTGGGGGGGGTCTCCTGTTGAGACTATCCTACATCCCTAAAGCAAGACTTTTATAAAGATGTATTAGATTTCATATATAACCTAGGGTTGGCATCGTGACAAAGCAAGTAAAGCCACCTCCCTGTGATGCCAGCTTTCTCTACTGGAAGTAACTCCTGTCCCGGCTGCTCCACTTCTTCTCCAGCTCCCTGCTAATGTACCTGGGAGGGCAGCACAAGATGGCCCAAGTGTTTCAACCCATACCACCCCTGTGGGAGACCGGAGGAGTTCCAGGCTTCTGGCTTTGGACTGGTGCAGCCCTGGCCATTACGGGCCTTTTGGAGAGAGAACCAGAGATGGAAAAAAAAAATCTGTGTTTCCTTTTAACTTTGCCTTTCAAATAAATAGATCTTCTACAATCTAAAAGTGCTTTGAAATTACAAATAAGTATTAGAAGAAAATAATCATGCTAACTGCTTCAAGTAATACAATACTTCAGTACTACTTAGCTGAGGGACACTTCCTATAACGTAGGAGAATCTTCATAAAATGTGCACACTTAGCTTGTATAAATGTCAATGAAAGCACAGACAAGGTCAGGCATTTGCCGTGAAGACGCCAGCAGAACACTGCGTCCTCCATGAGCGTGCCGGCCCAGTCTGGGTTCAGTTTCTAATTCCAGCTGCTGCTAATGTGGACCAGTTGAAGCACCTGGCTCTGCAGTCCACACGGAGACCCGGACTCAGCTCCAGGCTCCTGGATTTGGTCTGGCTTAGCCATTGCAACCATTTGGGGAGTGAACCAGCAGATAAAAAAATCTGTCTCTCCCTTTCTCCACAACCCCAGCTTCCAGATAAATATATTTTTTAAAGTTATCCTGAAGGACAGGAAGAGCTCAACACTGACGCTCTGTGTCCCCACTCAATTGAATGGCACAGAGGGAAGAGGAGGCAGTTTCTCAACTCCAACACAGGACCCTGCGACCAGACACTCACAGGCAACAGGAGCTGCACCCTTTCTATCTCTTGCCTACCTAGCACCTCACAAATTTTCAGAGACTTCCTGAATATTCCATCAATTCACCTACCACTTCTTTTCCAAACTTTTACTGCCAGAAATACAGAAACCACAATAAACAATAAAAGGGCACACCAAAAAAGCCCTATAGGAACATTTAACACATCTCCAATAATTATTATAAAAATGATGTAAAGGTCGCAGAGCGATGGTCTAGTGACTAAACCCTCACCTTGTATGCGCCAGAATCTCATGTGGGTGCTGGCTTGTGTCCTGACTGCCCCACTTCCCATCCAGCCCCCTGCTTGTGGCTGGGAAAGCAGTGCAGGACGGCTTTAAACCGGCTCATCTCTGCGCACTGCGCCCAGCAGATGAAGGATCTCTGTCTCTGTGTCATCTTCTCTCAGTCTATCTGCCTTTTTAATAAAAATAAATAAATCTGAAAAAAAAAATTATGTGGGCCCGGCATGGTGGCCTATTGGCTAAAGTCCTTGCCTTGAACACACCGGGATCCCATATGGACGCCGGTTCTAATCCCAGCAGCCCTTCTTCCAATCCAGCTCCCTGCTAGTGGCATGGGAAAGCAGTCGAGGACGGCCCAAAGCCTTGGGAGCCTGCACCCGTGTGGGAGACCCAGAAGAGCTCCTGGCTCCTGACTTTGAACAGGTGCAGCACTGGCTGTTGCGGTCACTTGGGGAGTGAATCATCGGGCAGAAGATCTTCCTCTTTGTCTCTCCTCCTCTCTGTATATCTGACTTTGCAATAAAAATAAATAAATCTTAAACAAACAAAAAGAATTTGTACCACAAACTACTGATATTTGCACAACCTACTGCACTGCCCTCCAAATTTCTTGGTTGAATAAATCAACTGACAAGGTCAAAACATAACTAGCATGCCACCAGTAACTGAGCTGGGATTAGAATTATTTACTAAGCCTGTTCTGTGAAAAGCAGTACTCTTGGCTATGACTGTTCAAATTCCAGGCTGTGACTAATAGCAAATCTGAACAAGGCAATGTCATAGGTCACCCATTGTTTTCTTTTTAATGGAAGATCGCATATAGCAGTAAAGGTAGCTCCTGGTTCCTGAAGTAGCTGCCAGCTTTGACTCACACACACACACACACACACACACACACACACACACACACACACACACACACACAGAGCAGCTCATAGGCAAAATGCTACTTCTTACTACAGATCATCATCAAAGATGCAATGTGTTCACAGTATTTCAATCATGAGCAGCTACTGAAATATGCTTAAAATCTGGTTAACTGAGGTGAGTTCAAAACTCCCTTTTCCAGTACTTTTCTGCTTTCTAAAAAAAAAAAAACAAAACTTTTTTTTTAAAGAAAAATCATAATTGCTACCAATTTTTTTTTGTCTAGTTAGAAACTAGTAAGTTAATTAACCTGCCATTAGGAATACCTAGGAATATCTAATAATTTGAGAAACTCCAGATGCCTCTCAGAAAAAATTACTGCGAATGAGTCACAGTACCTTGAAATCAATATTTCTGAATTAACAAATTTGTAATCCTATTCAAAGAGACACCAAGAAAGTAACTAATACATTAACATCTCCTCCCGTCCCAGCTTCCTTCCAGAAGCTCCCAGAACATACCTGTTCTTTCTCCTTCAGCAGTTGCTCAAAAGCAACAGCTCTGTCCTTCAATGAATGGCACTCGGCCTCTTTTTCTCGCAACATCATAGAGATGTGCATGTTAGCCTCTTGTAATGCTTGATATTCGTTTTCCTTCCCTCTCGACTCTTCTACTATTTTATCATTTTCGTCCTTCAGTTTTGAAATTTCCATTTCCAAAATTAGTATTCTCTCCTTCAGGTTTGTTACTGCCTGCCTCAAAAGTTCATTCTCATTCACTTTGTTGGTCAAATCTTCACTTGAGGAGTGCAGCTGGCTGCTTTGGTCCTTGAGAAGGAGGTCTTTCTCCTTGAGCAGGTTTTGCAGTGCATCATACTTGTGCTTCAGCTGCCCAAGCTCCGAATCGTGCTGCTCCTGCTCCTTCCTTCCCAGCTCTGCGGCGGCAGCGACAGAGTCAGACAGGTGTTGGTTATTCTCCTGCAGAGTTCTGATGCTGGTTTCTCTTTCTTTCAGGGTTCTCTTTAGTTCTTCCACCTCTTGCTGAAGCGATGGGGAAGTCTCCCTGGTTCTGTCAGATTCGCAAGGAGGCAATGACCCAGTAAGCGGCGGGGGTGAAATGCTATCAAGTTTTCCTAAGAAAAGGTCTTTGGCATTGCAGAGTTGCCCAAAATAGTGCTGCATTTGTGCCAACTCGTGCCTCAAATTTTTTAGTTTGTTTTCATTTTGTTCATAATTCTGTATCAGGTCATCGTAGTTCCCTTGTAATTTATCACTACTGTCACTGTTCACCAACATTTGAGCTTGAACCTGAAGCAGCTCTTCTTGGAGATGGGCTAACTCGTGATGCATATTCTGGACGGTAGTCGTTACTTGCTGTTTCCACTCAAACATTTTTTTAACCTGTTGTTTTAAGTTATCACGTTCCTGTAATAGTTTTTCAAACTGATCACTGTTAACACCCCCGGCCTCATTACTGGTGCCAGAGGTTTGCAGGACAGTCAATAAAGTGTCACATTTTTGCCGTAATGCGTCTACCTCCATGTCCTTTTCTCTTATGATCCGTGATAGATTCTGAACCGTTTCTTTAAACATTTCTTGGCTGGTGTTCTCAAACCTGGAGGACATTTGTTTATTTTCATCTTGGAGTTTAATCAGCGCTGCCTCTTTGGCAGACACTATGTCCATCATTTTGTGATACTCTGTTTTGAGATGGCTGTTTTCCCTTGTTTTGTCACTCAAAACAGCTAACACCTGCTCCCTCTCCATAGCGTAGGCTTGCAGCTGCTGCTGAAGGTCAAGGATGTCCTGGGAGTAGGACGGTGAAGAGATTTTAGCATGAAGAGCTTGGATCTCCAAATCTTTTTGCTGAATAATCTGAGTTAGCTTTCCTACTTCATCCCTTGATAGTTGGTCAATCTGTTTAGTTAAAGATATATTCTTTTCATTTAGAAGCTTAATCTCCAATTCTCGCTCTTTTATTCCTTTTACTAACTCCTCTGTTTCTGCTTTAGATAAATCATGCTTTTCACTTCCATTTTCCACGCTAACATTTTGAACTTTTGCTACAGGAAAGATATCACAGTTTTTGGTGGGGATATCATGTCCTTCCTCGGGCAGCTGGGTTTTGATCTGTTCAATTGTTTTCTGCAGGTTTTTAATTTCCTCATCTTTCTCTAACAACAGCTGTGTATACGTGGCATTCTTTTGCTCATACTGGTATTTAAACTCTTCCATCTCCTTCTTCTGCTCCTGCAGAGACTGAAGCAGCTGCCTCTTACTCTGCTTTTGATCTTCAATGATCTTTTGATGTTGTTTAACCTCTTCTTCAAGCTGTCCCTTGATAATGGTCAGTTGGGTCACCTCTGACTCTAGTTCGGCCACGCTGTCGGGCGGTCTGGGCTCGGCCCCGTGCACAGCTCGACTCTGCTGCTCCCTGAGCCGCTCCAGCTCCTCCTGGAGATGATTATTTTCTTCTTTCATGCAGCCCAGGCTTCTATCCTTTTCCTCTATGGTCTGTTGTAAAACTTCATTCTTCTTAGAAGTCTCAATATATTTGTCCAATTCCGCCTGCAGCTCTGAACTTTTTTCTTGAAGATTTTCAATGCAATTTTCCTTCTCATTTATAACTTGTGTCAACTGCTCCTGCTTTTCTAAACTAGAGGACAAGAGCTCCTCGGTATGTTTATGACTGGTGTCCATTTGCTCAATACTCTTTTTCAGGGCCGCTATTTCCAAGTCCTTCTGCTGAATGAGTTCCATTAAACGTGCCTGTTCCAGCTTAAGGGAAGAGGAATCCAAACCGTGTGTGCTGGACAGCTCCTCGAGGCTCTGCCTGTGCCTGTAGGCCTCCTCCGACAGCCTCTTCTCAGCGCCACGTAAGTCAGCTTCTAGCTGGTCCTTTTCCCTTCTCAGGGTCTCCACAATCGTGTCTTTTTCCAAAGAAATCTGATTGTTTATAGTAACAGACTCCTCCAATTTATGTTTCAGCTGTTCACATGCCAAAATCAACTTCTCATTTTCTATTCTGAGATCAAAGGCAATTTTCTGTAAATTTTCATCACATTCTTGTGCTTCTGAAAGCTTCTGCTTTAAGTTTCTTACTTCAATTTCCTTTTCTTTAAGTAAATTATCATTACAATTATTACTAATTAATTCTGGGTTAAGAACTAATTCTTTTTTAATTCTATCAAGCTCCTCCTCATTTTGTTGAATGCATTCTTTGAGCTCAACATTCTCTTTCTTGATGCCTTCATTATTTTCCTGGGCTTTATTTAGCTGATCAGCTAAATTTTGTACTTTATTTTCGAGCTCCTGCTTGGTTAAATGCATAGCACACAGTTCCTTGTCATTCTGAATTAAGTTTTTTCTCTCCTCCTCCAATTCTTCAGAGATGTTTACTTTGTCCTGCTCAAGCTGATGAACTCTCTTTTTTTCACGATCTAGATCTTCTTTCAGTTTACTGATGATGACCTCGCCTTCATTTTGTTGTTTTGATAGCTGATCTTTCATTAAAATTATATGCTGAAAGAAAAAATAATTGCTTGATAGCTTTACGTTTTCATTTTAGTATTTAACTTTTAGATTTCACACATGATAGAATCCTCAGAAATGCCAAACTTCTTAAAAACAACTTCTTTTTCTACTTCAATATCTTCTACAAAATTTTTTAACAATATCTTTCAGCAAGTCCTTCTTTTCAGCCCAGAGAAGAGGCTGGCATTGTGGCGTAGCAGGTCAAGTCTGTGATGTGATAACCTATGTGGACACCAGTTCACAACTCAGCTGCTCCGTTTCTGGCTGAGCTCCCTGCTCATGACCTAGGAAAGCAGCAGAAGGCCCGAGTGTGTGGGCCCTGTCACCCTGTGAGAGCCTCTGATGAAGCTCCTGGACTTGGCATGGCCCAGCTCAACTGACCGCTGTGGCCGTGAGTCCACGGATGAAAACTCTTTGTAACTCTGAAATAATAAAAAACAAACAAACCAACACACACCACCACATACACACAATGGTAAGCTGTAAGTTACAAGTATTCTCAACTCTGAAACACTAGAGCAGGAGTTAACAAAGCATGGGTCACATCAGGCCCACTGCTTGTTTCATAAATGAGATTTGACTGAAACAGGGCTAGCCACATTGATTTGTTTACAGATCGCAACAGCAGGATTGCTGAGAGAGGCAACCCAGAGTATGCTGCACCTTGGTAAGAGAAAATGTTTTACCACCTTACACTGTACAAAAAATTAGCTACAGCATTAATGAACTAAAATATTTCACCACAAAATTAAACTGCACCCATCAGTTTTGCAGGTAAATCCAAAAGAGAATATACCAATTCACTGTCTTAATCATAACTTACCTTTGTAGCTTCTTGATTCTGCTTGTCCAGTTCTTCCAACTCAGCCATCAGTATTTCCTTTTCATTAATACTCTGAATAAGTTCCCGTTCTTTTGCCTCCAAGTTAAGTCTTAGATTATGTAACTCTGAATTCAAATTTCTCCCGTCTATACTTTTAATGTCTTCATATTCACTGCTTAATTTTGCAAGTGATTTCTGAAGAGATATCAAAAGATTACAATGCATATGCAAACACACACACAACTGGAGAATCTGTTTTTTAAAGATATATTTATTTGGAAGACAGAATTATGCTGGGGGGAGGAAAGAGAAAGAGAGAGGCTCTTCTATTTGCTGGTTAGCTCCCCAAATGGCCATAACAGCAGGAGCGAGGCCAATCCGAAGCCAACAGCCAGGTCTCCCACACGAGTGCGGAGCCCAAGCACCTGGGTCATCCTCTGCTGCTTACCCAATCTATTAGCAAAAGCTGGACTGGAGGCAGACTTCAACCAGTATCCATATGGGATGTTGGTGCAGTAGGCACGGCTTAGCCTGCCAAGCCATGAGCCATGGTGCTGGCCCCTGAGGAATCTCTTTTAAATAGTCTATACCGGAAACATTATCCAACAATATCTCAATAATGACATGTAAAAATTCCACAAATCATAGGCTTCATTTATGTGCTAGTTAATTCACAGCTTCAAGAAAAACATTTTTGTAACTATAGATAAGATGCAAGAACTGGAGCAGACACCTGGTATAGTAGTTAAGACACCACTTACAGCACTGTACCCAGGGCCAGCTCTGTGGCGGAGTGCGTTCAGCTACTGTCTATAAGGCCAGGATCCCAGAGAGGCAGCAGTTCCAGTCCTGGCTGTTCCATTTGTAAACCAGCTTTCTGCTAATGGCCTGGGAATTGCAGCGGAAGATGGCTTAGGTGTCTGGGCCCTTACTACTCTTGTAAGAGGCTTAGAAAAAGCTCTTGGCTCCATCCAGCCTAACCCAGTCCTAGCCACTGCAGCTTTCTGGGGAGTGGATGGAAGATCTCTCTGTCTCTCTGTGTAACTCCTTCAGATGAATAAATAAGTCTTGTTTTAAAAGAAAAAAAAAATTGGTGCCCAGTGCAGTAGTCTAGTGGCTAAAGTCCTTGCTTGCACACACCAGGATCCCACATGGGTGCTGGTTCCAATCCCAGTGGCCCCACTTCCCATCCATCTCCCTGCTCATGGCCTGGGAAGGCAGTAGAGGACAGCCCAAGGACTTGGAACCCTGCACCTGCGTGGGAGACCTGGAGGAGGCTCTGGGCTCCTGGCTTCAGATTGGCACAGCTCTGGCCATTGTGGCCACTTGGGGAGTAAATCAATGGATGGAAGATCTTTCTCTCTGTCCCTCCTCCTCCTCTTTGACTTTCCAATAAAAATTTAAAAAAAGAGAGAGAAAAAAGAAAAAAATTTGCATCCAACACTAGAATATCCAGGTGTGTTCTGCTCCCAATTCCAATTTCCTGCTAGTGCACACCCTGGGTGGAGTTTCAGACTCCCGATTTCCCCGGCCCAGCCCTGACTATTACAGCTGTCTGGGAAGTAAGCCAGAACATGGGAGATACCCCTCCTTTTTCCCATATCCCCTCCTTCCCTCCCTCTCTCTTCTCACTTCCATGTCTCTGCCTTTCCAATAAATTAATTTAAAATTAATTTTAAGAATGTATCCACTCTAAATTTATCTTCTGGTTCAACTTCTTTCCAGAAGACCTTTCCCAATTGACAGCCTTTCCTATCCTACTCTTAGAGCATGATACAGAGAGAGGGAGAGAGAGATCTCCCATCAACTGATTCACTGCCCCAAGTGGCTGCAGTGGTTGGGGCTGGGCCAGGCTGAAGCTAGGAGCCAGAAATTCATCTGTGTCTCCCATAGGTGCACAGGAGCCCAACAAGCACTTGGGCCATTTTCTGCTGCCTTCCCAGGCACATTAGCAGGGAGCTGGATCAGAAGTGGAGCACCTGAAATTCGAACCAGAGACCATTTGGGATGCTGGGGTGGCAGGCGGCAACTTTACTTGCTATGCCACAATGCCGGCCCCATGATTCTGTTGCAATGTTTATCATATATAACTGTAAAACCTTTTTGGACATATTTAAAAATCAAATCAAATTTCGGGAATCTACTTCAAAGTAAAGAAGGATTTCAGATTCTTTCAAAGAACCTCTTTTATAAGAGACTAATAAGCACTGTATCATGTAACATTTGTTATCACAATCCCATTTTCTTCCAGTTCAAAAGTTTATTCTCAACTACAACTTAGAGACAGAACTAGAAAACTCTTGTGTCTTTCTGAAGTTATCTGCTCATTCAGGAACACCACCTGCATTTTTTCTGGTGAATCTTAAAGAGCACACACAGTCTTACATGTACTTCTGACATTTTAAAATCAATGCGCAGATTCATGGAGACAAATTTCGAGGAGCTTCAATGAATCATCTAACTGCTAACAACATCCTAAAAATCTTGCCACTTCTACTAGACACATGCAAAGAGGTCTAAAAACTACCAAATACACGCAAGGGAGGGAGATAAAGAGCATAATTTAATGGGGCAGAAAAACAACCGAGGAAAGTTGTGTAACAACTGGCAGACACTAGCGGCACCCAGCAGGGAGCAGGAGTGGTGACAGAAGGCCAGGGTGCAGGGACAACTCCTCCCCTTGAGCTAAGAGCGCTCCCTTTGAGAAACACTGCATGTCAACTAACGCAGAAGGAAGCTGAAAACACAGTGAAGGTACACAGGTCAGCACACACTGTCTGTTTATATCTAGCTCTACAGATACACATCTGTTTATACGTAGCCCATACAAGGTCTAGAAAGATGTATCAGAGATTGGTAAGAGACCAACTTTGGGCAAAAGGTCCAGGACTAGAGACGCGAAGGATTCTCCATCTGTGCTATCTCGTTTGTCAGCAAGCATTATTAAATACACGGGCTTTAAATCACACTGAAATACTGGACCTTAAAAATAAAAGCTTACAAGTGTCCTACTTCTAAGTACCTGTCTTAAATAAGGAAGCAGCCTCAAGTGGTAGCAAACATGAAAACACCTCTTTCCGTGCCCAACAATGCATTAAACATTATTTCCGTTATTGCTGCCAACAGACATAAAAAGACCAAAGAACCTTAACTGCTGGCCACCGAGGAATCCCTAGCCACCACAAGGAACACACGAAGCAGCATGGCAGCAGTACATCCCCAACACCTCCAGACCCACCTGCTTGCTGCTGCTGACTGCACTGTGCTGGGAACCCAAAGGCCTTACCTATCTTCGCTGGTCATAGGTGTGTGCATACCAGCTTATCTCTACATGTCAGCTCTGGGCAGCCTCGAGTTCTGTGAACCCTGCCCAGGTACTACAACCTGGCCTGCCAAGTGTCAGTGGGATCACCTTTATCCTTAGGACTCGCAACCACCAGACATTCCCCTGGGCAGCACAGGCCCTCAGAACTGCGATACACACATCTCTCTAGCTCTGTCCCCATTGTCACAACACCCACCTTCTCCTGACTCAATAATGACTCCTCTTTTTCTAAAATTCGTGCTTCCCTTTCCTGAGACTGCTATCCTGTAGAAATATTACAGCAGCGTCTTCAGACAAGAAATTTCCAGTTTACACGAAAGCACACAAACCATATTTCTTCAACGACATACAAAAAGTATAAAAATGCAACAGCAGTGGCCCATCTAAAGTTAGCCACTCATTTTAGATATTCAATGTAGAAATTATATTTAAATATATATATATTCAAAATCACTTGTAATTATTAGATTGGGAAATGAGTCCTTGAATTTTTTAAGGAAAATCAAAATATATTTCTCTGCTTCTATCATCTACACATGTAACATCGGTTGAGTCATCTTCCAAGAGTTAGGTATACCTGCATTCTTCAGCTACATCACTGTACAGTTATGCTAACTGGTCAAACAAAAGGTTTGTGGCTCTGCAGCGAGTACCACAGGACAGGGAGTTAGCGTAACTTGTGATGCCAGCATTCCACATGGAGGGCTGGTTTTAGTCCTGGCTAGTTCACTTATGATTCAGCTTCCTGCCAATGAGCCTAGCAAGGCAGTGGAGAATGTGCTTGAGATCCTGCCACCCACACGGAGATCCGGAGGCAGTCTCTGGCTCCTGCTTTCATACTGGCCCAGACGAGCCATTGCAGCATCTGGGGAGTGAGCCAGTGGGGGAGATTCTCTCTGGTCTCTTTCTCTTTCAAATAAATAAATAAATACTTTAGATGTTTGTTTCTGTTATTGATTGGCAAACATAAAATTATTAAGACCAATCTTACAGTAAATTCATGTGAATTTACAATAAAAAAAAAAACCAAGAAAGTATAATCAGCAAATATACATTTCTTAGTAAAACAATGACAAAAGCTCTTTCCCTTATTAGTTTACCTGATTGAGCTGGGTGTTTTCATTTTCAGCATCTGTAAAAACAACAAATGAATTTGACATTATTTATATAGAATAATTATCTATTAAAAAGGCAACTCAATAAGAGAAAATATATTTATAAACAATAAGCACTAAGAGTTCAGAACATAATGTTTTGCTTATATGTTAATTTTGCCTAAATCAAAAAGTCATAATACAAATGTCAATAAGAGGGCCCTGGCATGGTAGCCTAATGGCTAAAGTCCTCCCGCCTTCCATGCCCCAGGATCCCATTTGGGTACCAATTTGTATCCCAGCCTCTCTACTTCCCATCCAGCTCCCTGCTTGTGACTCGAGAAAGCAGTTAAGGGTGGCCCAAAGTCTTGGGACCACTGCATCTGTGTGGGAGACCTGGAAGAAGCTCCTGGCTCCTGGCTTTGGGTCAGCTCAGCTCTGATCATTGTGGTGACTTGGGGAGTGAGATAGTGGACGAAAGATCTATCTCTCCTTCTCTCTAAAATGATCACTTTCCAATAAAAATAAAGAAATCTTTACAAAAAGAAACCATTACAACTGCACACTGGATGAGTCATAAACTTATTTCCTTGATCAAAACACTAATAACCCTTCAAAATGAGTTGCTTAGTTTGGGCAGCAGGAAATGGCAAAAGGTCTGAGATAGTTGAAAATAAAAACCGCAAAGAAAAACATGCATTTATAGCCAAACGATACTCTTTCAATGATCTTTGAAGTGTCCACTGATAAAACGACCACCGTCTGGTCTTACCGCGAGATCCATAAACACAAGAGGATCTGGAAGAGGACCACAAAGAAACCCCTAAGTCCAGCTGGAGTCACTCACTTAACATAAGTTCAGCAAATACTGACTATACAGGCTAGGTACTAGACTATAAGATGGAAGATGTAGTCCTTCTTCTTAAAGAGCTTATAGTTCAGGGTTAGAGAAGTAAATTCACGGTTATGGCCCAATGTGATGCACCCAATACAAGGTGGCAAGAGGCAAAATGGTGAATCCCTAACCCAGGGAAGCAAGACAGCCAGGAGGTGGCAGTGCTGGGCAGCTCCCAGGGAGGTCATCTCTACATTAGAAACCACAAGACAAGTCTCCAACAAGTTTATAAAAAAGTGAATTATAGGAACTGGTGATGGCTCAACTAGCTCATTCTCCACCTGTAAACATTAGCATCCCATATGGGCACCAGTTTGGGTCTTGGCTGCTCCAATTCTGAAGCAGGTGCCTGCCTGTGACATGGAAAAGCACCAGAGTATGTCCCAAAATATTGGAATTCTGCATCTATGTGGGAGATATGGAAAAGGCTCATGGCTCCTGGCTTTTTGACTTCATATGGGCTCAACTCTGGCCATTGTAGCCATTTGGGGCGAGAAGCAGCATATCATTCTCTCTGTGTGAATCTGCCTTTTAAATGAAAAGAAGTAAATCTTTGGGTGAGCTATAAGAGGCCAACATTGTGTCTCAGCTCGTTAAGCTAATGCCTACGACACCAGCATCCCACACAGCTACTAGGTCAAGTCCCAGCTGCTCTACTTCCGATCCAGCTCTGCTAATACACCTGGGAGCTGAAGCGGAAACAACTGAAGATGGCCCAAGAGTGTGTGTGTGAGGGGGATCCTCTAAACTCACAGGGGAGACCCAGAGGGATTTCCAGACTCCTGGCTTCAGCCAGGACCAGTTCAAGCACTGCAACCATCTGCTGAGTCCACAGATGGAAAATCTGTACCTGTCTCTCCCTCTCTCTCTGACTCTGACGTACAAATACTTTTTCCAAAATGTATTTATTTGTAATTGAAAGGGAGATTTACAGGGAGAGGTAGAGACAGAAAGATTTTCCATCTATTGATTCACTCCCCAAATGGCTGGAATGGCTGGATCTGAGCGATCTGAAGCCAGAAGCCAGCAGCAAGGAACTTCTTGCAGGTCTCCCATTTGCGTGCAGGCGCCCAAGAAGCTGGTCTGTCCTCTGCTGATTTCCCAGGACATAAGCAAGGAGTTGGAATGGAAGAGGAACAGCCCAGATACAAATCAGTGGCCACATGGGATGTCAATGCTTGCAAGTGGGTTAGCCTGTTGAATTATGACCTCATAAGTGATATAAAAAAAAAGCCAAACTAAATTGTAAGGGAGGTAGGTGTGGATTTAATATTTTACTTTGTACCAAAATTAACCTTTCAACTATGTGAAGGATTCTTGCACTCTAAGACACTAAGTGTTAGCTAAAAGAAATGTACAAACAAGACCTGGTGAGATTAGTGGCTAAAGTCCTCACCTTGCATGTGCCAGAATCCCATATGGGTGCTGGTTCTAATCCTGGCAGCCCAGCTTCCCGTTCAGCTCCCTGCTTATACGAAAGCAGCAAAGGGTGGCCCAAAGCCTTGGACTCTGTATGCCCATGGGAGACTCAGAAACTCCTGGCTTCAAATCAGCTCAGCTCTGACCTAGCTATAGCCGTTGCGGCCATTTGGGGAGTGAACCAGTGGACACAAGATCTTTGCTTCTGTATCTCCTTCTCTCTGTATATCTGCCTTTCCAATTAATAAGACAAAATAAATCTTAAAAAAGCAAAGGCAACAGAGCTAAGAGACAATAGGGCTGACTCATGGTCAGAAATAGCTAGTTTAAAATGGAAAGAATGAATGACTAAAGGTGACACTGGTAGACAGGGACCAGACCGTGATGGACAGTCTGTGTGTGATGTGGAAGTTCAGACTTCGTTCTGAAGTTCACAGGGAACCACAGGCACCAAAAGCAGGGGAGTAATCTGCTCTGCCTTTCCGAATAGCTTTTCCTGGTTGTAGCACAGGGTTAAAAAAGAGATTGAAGGAGTCATTGAGACCACAAGATTAAAATAGTTAACATTGTTTTTAACAATATGGGCACTGTCCTACAGAGAAACTTAAAGCTAAAATCTCATACAATCTTCAATATTGAAGTATCTACACCCTCCCCTCCCACCCTACCCACACACAAACGCATGCACAGAACCCAGCCAAGGCAGAGAGCTGCTTGCTAAGTGGCTGAGGTCGGTCAGTCAGGGACGGCACTGGATTCCAACCCAGCTATGTCCGCCCCGCCCCAGGATGAGCCTGTGCACAGTTAGCTCGGGCAGAGAACAGACATGACCTGCTGAAGGAATGTTGTGGCAACGGACAAAAGCAAGCAGGGCTGGAAGCAGGCTGGCTTTTCACAATAAACTCTGACAGATCACCCAAAGGACAAACGTGGTTTTTTGTTTCCATTGAAGCCAAACCTGAGGGACCAGGGCCCCACGGCCTGCCTTTCTTCTGCCACCCTGGCAGCTCATGGGGCTGACGACACTCTAGGGGTCGCTGTGACATCACCAAGCTCCTCTGGTTCAAAACCCTGAAACATTCCTGAACCAGAGACGCTAAGGAAGCAGAAACTGCAGATTTGTGAGTAATAACTTGTATCTTTCTGTGACACTGGCAAATGCTGTCACTAAGGTGGGGGAGAAAGAGGAAAGGAGGACACGCTGGCTGGACTTTGAACCTGACTTTGGTTACAAAGCCCATGTGACGAAGGATGAGTTGGTCATCCATATCAGGAGCTCAGGGCAAACAAGTGGGTGAGTTAACGTGGGGAGTTAGAAGACGCCAGCAGCAGGAATGAATGTGTTTACATTTATCATGGGAGAGTTTACGCTGTAAGAAGAGGACAAAGGACAACATAAAAAACACGTCTTTCCAGCTGAAGAGCTCCCATTGTGCTTTCCTGGCCTTCTGCATTCGATATTTAACTTTGTCACCACAAGACTTTGGTGGAGTAACTAGACATCATCCACACACAGACAGCGGGCTAGATCTGAGCGTGGATCATGCAGGCCTGGCTTCAATACGGGAGAGCATTTCTCAGGGAGCAGTATCTGAAGAAGGCAACTGCATTCCCTATTTAAGGGACTCACAGAAGGCTTCGATTCTGAATAGATAAGAGAAATAACCCTAGACACCCTGCTCACTCCTCCCCCAGTCCCAGGAATGCCAAGATCTACAAACATTTCCAGAAACCTACATGATCTTGCAAATCAATGAGTTCCATGTAATACTTAAAGGACAAAGAAGGGAAGTTGAGAGGCACCTAGGGAATACTTAAGCCCTTTTAGTACAAAGGCACTATTGTAATCTATGAGCCATAGCACTAACTCCATGCCAAACAACCGTATTCAAACAGAGTCATGTTCATCACCACTTCATTTCCACGAAGTGGTCAGTGCTTCAGTGTCGGTCTCTAAAACACCTGGGACGCAGAGAAAGGCCAAGTGGAAGGAAGAGCCAAGCGCGTTATACCAGCCAGGGCCTGCCGGAGCCTGAGCACTTCCTCCCTCAGTGCACTGGGCACAGTTTCCCCGCCTGCCGCCAGCTCCACGGGTTTCTCAGCACACGACGCCAGCCTCCCAAACTCCACTTGTAAGGTCTTATAGTCTTCCAAAATTCGTTGCTTTTCTACAATCAGCTGTTCGTGTTCTTTCTTCAAAATATCCCTGTCATTTTCAGCGGAAGTTAATCTTTGACTTATGTCTTTTATTTCACCCTCCAGTTCGTTGATTTTTTGGGAGGATTCAGCTTTCTCTGATTGTAACACTTCAATGGACTTTTGCATCTCGGAGACTTTAGGGTAGTCAGCTCCTGAACCACCTGCAACAGACACAAGGGCAAGCACCGTGACCCCAGCAGCTCGCTAGTACCATTGAGATGCCATGCGAGCTGGCAACCTGGAAAGCTGGGGAAGACAAGGTAAGATAGGAAAAAATCATTTTTAAACAAAGAAAAAAGGGAAAAGATTTGAATCAGCACTGAAAAGTCAATAGATCTGAATTCGAAAGTGAAAATATCGCCAATCCTTTATTACCAAAATACCACCACCAAACAGGGCAAAGAAATCTATAAGTTCTAAGTTTTTACCACAAAGGCAAAGGACTTTTCCATTTTTATAGAGACTTAAAAGCAGTGGTTCTGGGGCCAATGCAATGGCTCAACAGGCTGCTACTCTGCCTGCAAATGCTGGCATCCCATATGGGTGCCGGGTCATGTCCTGGCTATTCCATTTCTGATCCAGCTCTCTGCTCCTGACCTGGGAAAGCAGGAGATAACAGCCCAAAGCCTTGGACCCTGCACCCACACAGGAGACATGGAAGAAGCTCCTGGCTCCTGGCTTCAGGTCAGCTCAGCTCTAACCACTGTGATCACTTGGGGAGCGAACCAGCAGATGGAAGAAAACCCCTCACCCACCTCTTTGTCTCTCTGTAAAAATCTGCCCTTCTATGAAAAATAATAAGTAAAAATATTTTATAAAGGAAAGAAATAGTGGTGCCACTGCAAATTTCTGGCAGACAAGCAGAACTCATCATTTCCCCATTCTTTAGAACTTAGTTCAAGTTCACAGCATCATCCAGGTCAACAGATCACTAGGTTTATCATCTGATAACACCATGAAATAAGTTAACAAAACTAATAACCTTGCTCCAATAGTTGCTCAAGCTCCTCAATTCGTTCCTCACGGCCACGGATTTCCTCTCCATACCGACGAGTTACCTCAGCCAGTTTCACCTGATATGTGTCTTGCAATACCGCCATTTCATGTTGGTAGTTATCCATTTCCTGGCTTTGATTTTGTTTAAGTTCCTTAAAAATTGGAAAACAAAGTTTTAATACACTCATGATCAACAAATTTACCTAACTCACTGTGGTCTAAGTCTTAATTCTCTGAACATGTTAAGACAGTCCCCAAACGAGAACAATTCTGACAGATTCCAGCTTTCCCTTTCTTAGCACTTAGAAACAGTTGTTTTAACCAGGGAATATCAGCAGGAAAACAGTGAAACAAAAAAGGAGTGTGAACATCATTTCCTTGACACCTGTGACCATGAATAGCTCCTTCCCTAAGCAAAGAATGGAGCCAGCACCTGCCCTAGGGCTGGTCTGAACTTTCCCAGCACCCCACACTCTCACTGAGCTTTCTTCCCATCAACCTCATGGGACTGCCAGCTTGGAAACCAAGATTCTTGCCATCCCTGTCAACACCATCAGTGTGGTGAACTTCCTGGCAACTTTATCTGGAGGAGAGTCCCTAACAGGCGACTAGTTGGACCAAAACCCACATGCTCAAGTTTCTGCCCCTGGGGCCAGCGCTGCAGTGCAGGACTCATTGATTTGCAAGCTGCCCATGACAACGCCTCCTGTAAGAGTATGGCTTCTCCTCCTGGCTGCTCTGCACTGTGTCCAGCTCCCTACGAATGTGCCTGTGAAAGCAGCAGAAGACGGCCCAAGTGCTTGGGCCTGTGCACCCAGGTGGGAGACCTAATGAGGCTCCTGGTTTCTAGTCTCGGTTTGACCCAGCTCTAGCAATTGCAGCCATCTGGGGAACGAACAGCAGACAAAAGATCAGGGTGGTGGGGCTGTGTGTGTGTGCTGTATGTGTCTCCCTTTCTGTCTCTGTATAAAAAAACCTTTAAAAAGAATCTAGAATCCTGCTGCTATTCTTGCTCCCGTCCTTCAGAGGCAAGAACGTGCAACTTTAATTCTCTGACAGGACCACCCAGGTCTTTCTGGTAAAGCCCTCTTTTGTTTTACCTAGCCAGAGAGGATTTTATGATTTATAACCAAAAATCCTTGTCTATAAATTAGCCTCCCTTTCCTGAAAGGACATGTGGGTGCAGGCTCCCAAGGCTTTGAGCCACCCTCGACCGCTTTCCCAGGCCACAAGCAGGAAGCTGGAAGGGAAGTGGAGCAGCTAGGACATGAACTGGTGCCCATTTGATATCCCAGTGTGTGAAAGGCGAGGATTCAGCCACTGAATTATTACAGTGGGCCCACATTTAAATCTCAAAACAATCCTGTATGATGACACTGCTTTACTGATAATAAAACAGAGGCTGGGAGGGCTTAACTAACCTGCTCAAGGCAGCCCAGAAGGAAAGTAGGGTAGCCAGGCTTCAAACCCACATCTGACTCTGGAACCAACCTATACTTGCATTGTAACAACTGGAAAAGTAAAAAATTCTAAATCTGACAATATTTGACATTCTAAAAACTCAGTGTTGTTATTATATGCAATTAAAACTTGAAAAAATTTTATTTAGCACTTGAGCCATCACCAGTGGCTTCCCAGGGTGTGTGCTGCTAAGCAGCAGCTTGAACTGGGGGCAGAGCTGGGCTCCAATACAGACGGACAGACGGACACCGTAGGCAGTATCTTAACACTGCACCAAATGTCTGTCCCAGCATGCTTTTAATGCACAGATTTTTATATGCAGAGTAACCATTATCAACCAGCTGACTTACATTAATGATACACTGAAGTTTATAGACTTCATTTTGATCAGAACTATGTGTTCCTTTGGCCTCAGAAATCTAGAAAAAGAGAAACAGAAAATAATTAAAACACCTTTTTTATAAAATAGGAATCCACAAACTAAGCTTAACAAAAAATATTTTTTAAAAAAATGGATATTTCTCGAACAGATTCTAATTAAGGAAAGGCAAATATCTTTGTTTTAAGATTTATTTTATTTTTATTACAAAGTCAGATATACAAAGAGGAGGAGAGATAGAGAGGAAGTGGAGCTGTCGGGATTAGAAACAGAGACCATATGGGATCCCGGCGTGTTCAAAGCGAGGACCTTAGCCACTAAGCCACGCTGCTAGACTGAAGGCAAATATCTTTTAAAGAATCTAGTTCAGTAGAGAGTAATCTACAATTAAGATATATATGCCTTAATGATACATAAATATATAATAAATCATATAACATAAATATATATTTCATCACACACATAAACATATAAAATCTTAATTATACATAATATATAAATAAATCAGCTGGCAGATGCTGGCACAGGGGACAAATTCTGTCAAGTTAAACTGCAGAGCCACCTGGACAGTGCAAGATCCAGAAATGGGAGTGGGCCCATTAGAAAAAACAGTGGGCACTTCCTTGTTGGGTTACCACTCTGACTGGTGAGCATGAGAACCAGGACTGGGCCAGGCATGGCTAGACAGAGAATGCCACCTGCTGCCAGATGTGTGGGCTGGATAGTGGGGCTGGTAGGGTTGAACTAAGTTTCAATGCCCATTAACATGTATGAGAGCTTAACAGGATGTGGGACATATTGGAGTGGTCTGCTGTACATATTGGCAAGCACGGGAACCAGTGTAGTGGGTAGGCCTGATGGGGGTTATTGTGGGTCACTGTAACTAAGCTGCAGCTCCCTCTGGTTTACAAGAATGTGTGGTGGGGACGATTGGGTTGGGCTCCAACACCCATTGGTTTGTGTAGAAGACAGGGCTGGAGACAGAACTGACGCAACAATTGCAACCACCAGCATGTGCATTAAGTTGGGGCAATGGACTGTGCCAGACACTGTACTGGCAAGCACACACAAGAATCAGGTCTGAGATCAGCTCAGATGAAGTTTCTTTGGGCATCCCCCCCCCCCACCCCAGCTGAATTGCTGGACTAAGAACCGCAATCATGGAGAGAATTGCAGGTCTCATGGTCTGACCATGGAGTGCATGTGTCAGAGCTGGGCCTCCTCAGTGGCTTAAGAGCAGTGGACAGCATGTCCAGGTGCACATGGAGGATAGGGAAGTACATTTCAGTCTGCAGAGGACACCTGGTACCATAACAGAGGATGGAGGACAGAGTAAATTAATCAACTACCCTAGCCAAGAGTTGGCAGTGAATATCTGGGCAAATGGAGACTCTTAAGGTGGACTACGTCAACCAATGGGTTCTGGAGAGATTTTATCGTACTTGGAGTGGCGAGATCAGCAGTAATTCAGAACTGTTGAACAACTGAAACCTCTTGAGCAGGACCCTTAGAGCACACCCCATGTTGGCAACCCTGGGATGGTTGGGAGGCTGGGTGTGGCTTCTTCCCTTATCTCCCTCCTTCCTCCAGATGCAGGAAGAAAAAAAAAAAGAATATGGAAATGGTGATGTCACCCACCTTCCTGTAGCCCCTGAGCCTTATCACCTAATCAACTAGGTTAAAATAATCAAAAAATTAAATTTTAAAAAATCTAGTCCAATAGAGAATAACATACAATTAAGATATATATGAAAGATGATACCATATCCAATAATGTTACTAAATAGGGAGACAACAATTTTACAAAAGACTAAGGACCAAAAAATAGACTATTAGACTTAGCTTAACAAAAGTTAACTAAGCACCTTTCTGTAAGGAAGTATCTAAAGTATCAAATTACTTAACATGAATGTTAATGATCCAGTAGAAATCTTTCAAAAGTTATTTTATCCAGACTATTTCTATCCCAATACAGAATAATCTTTGTCTGACAAGAAAATAAAATTACTTTTGAATTCTTCTCATTCAAGCTGTATTTTGTATTTATCTTTACCGTAAAACTGTTTAACTGATACCCAATAATTGTGTATTATGGCGTACAATGTGATGATTCAATACCTTTGTGTAATGTTTAATTCATGGTCATTGGCACTATCTACCAAATTAACCCTTTATCACTTCTTAGTGGTAAAGATATTCAACATTCTTTCTTGTAGCTATTCTGAAATACAGAATCCATTGTTATCATGGTTGCCCTATTGGGCAACAGAACAGCGTAACTTCATGTCTTAACTTTCACCTTCTTATACTTGCTGACCAACCTTTTCCCTCACCCAAGACCCTGGTTACCACTCATATGGTGGTCTTAATTACCAATGACTATATAATCAGGTTAGTGGGTCAAAAGCTGCACCAGGGCTGAAAGAACAAGGTCTAGCAGAAAGACCACAAAATTTGGAGTAAAAAACACATGTACATGAACTGCAACTCTTAACAATAGATATGTCACTTCGAGTGACCTCTGCCCCCTTGTAGGGTACCCATGAAAAGCTCCAGGCTCCATGCTTTGCCTGGCCAGGCATCAGCTATTGTGGCCATTTAGGGAGTAGACCAGTAAACAGAAGATCTGTTTCTCCTCTTCTCTGCAATTGGTTTTGAAATACATAAACAGTCTTGTTGAAAAGAAAGCTTCTTCACTTGAAAGACAGACAAAGTGAGTAAGAGCGGGAGATCACCCACCCACTGCTTCACTTCCCAAATGCCTGTAACAACCAGAGCTGGGTCAGGCCGAGGCCAGTGTCCTAGAACTCAACTTGGATCTCCCAATTGGAAGCAGGGACCCAGACACGTGGTCTTCACCTGCTGCCTCCGAGGGTGCACATTCGTAGAAAGGTGGAACAGACAGCAATGCCTGGGCAGTTGAATATGGGATGAGGTGTTCCAGGAGACACCTCAACTGCTGTGCCAAAGGCATACTCCATGATGATTTCGTTCTAATGCGTGAGAAATGACCAAAGTAGCTTAACACATTCTAGAGCAGCTTTTATCAAAATTTTCCATTTCATCTTATCCCAGCTGATAGAACCCCCACCAACAGCCCAGCAACAGCTTCAAGCACAGTGCCTGGGGGACCTGTGGTCTCCACGGGAGAATCCTCAGAGACTCTAGGCGAAAGATGTCGGGTCAGAGTCCTGGAATTGCAACAATTTTAAAGAAAAAATTCAACCAAAAATGTCCCCAAATCCTGAACAGAAAGGAAAACGACCTGGGCAAAGCCCTCCCAGTCCCTGATGGACTGAGCACTGAAACACAGGCTTTCTGTTTCCTCCTCCAGGGGAGCCCTGCAGACAGCTGTCAAGGCAGCACCATATTTTTATTGTAGTTTTCAAAAGCTCTTGAAAATTTCCACCTACCTCGGCTATGTTTTTCCAGTGGCCAACCTCAGATTCCAGCCTCGAAACTTCACTGGACAGCCGGTTAATTTCTTCTTGTGAGGAAATTATGTCAATGAAGTCCATGTCGTCACTGTGGAATGCTGACGTGTGATGACTGGCCCCGTAGCTGAACGCGGATGATGTGGCAGGGATGCTGCTAGCTCCCGAATGGACCGACTGCAGCTTTAGTAGCTGGTCCTGCAGCGCTGTCTGTCTGGCTTTAAGGTGGCTGATTTCCACCTGCATATTTATAATTCATATTTGAGAATCACTTACTTACCACTACTGACTTTTTTTATTAATTAACACTAAAAGGGATAATAGTAATTTGTCCGAGATATCCAGTGATGATACTCTAACTAAGAGACAGGCATTGGGCACAGTGGTCAACTCACTGTGTGGAATGCCCACAATCCACATCAGAGTTGTAGCCCTGCTTCTCTTCCGCTTTCTTGTTAAGGCATATCCTGGGAGGTCCCAGAGGCAGCCTATGGAGTTGGGTACCTGCCACCTACAGGGGAGACCAGATGGAGTCCCCAGCTCCTGGCTACAGCCTGGTAGTCCTGGATGATGTAGGTATTTAGAGAGTGAACCAGCAGATACAGGATCTCTTTCTTTTTATCTCTACCTTTCACATAGAATGCAAACATTTTTTTTTTAAATGGCTTTTAAAAAGTAAATGCAGGCCTGATGGCGTGGCCTAGCGGCTAAAGTCCTCGCCTTGAAAGCACCAGGATTCCATATGAGCACTGGTTATAATCCTGGCAGCTCCACTTCCCATCCAGCTCCCTGCTTGTGGCCTGGGAGATGAGTGGAGGAGGGCCCAAAGCCTTGGGACCCTGCACCTGTGTGGGAGACCTGGAAGAAGTTCCTGGCTCCAGGCTTTGGATCAGCATAGCACCGGCCATTGCGGTTACTTGGGGAGTGAATCATCAACGGAAGATCTTTCTCTCTGTCTCTCCTCCTTTCTGTATATCTGACTTTCCAATAAAAATAAACAATTTTTTTTAAATTAAAAAAGTAAATGCAAGGGGCCAGCACCATGGTGTAGCAGGTAAAACTGCCATCAGTGACATAGGTATCCCATCTGGTGCTTTTGGAGTCCCAGCTGCCCCACCTTGCTCCAGCTCACTGCCCACATACCTGGGAAAGCAGTGGAGGATGGTGTAAGACCTTTGGGTCCCTACACCCATGTAAGAGACCCAGATGAAGCTCCTGGCTCTGGCTTGGCCCAGTCCCAGCAATTAGAGTCATTTGGGGAGTGAACCAGTAGACAGAAGATCTCTCCCCAGGCCCCTTCTCTCTGTAACTCTTTCAAATGAATGAATACAATTTATAGGTGGAATTTATAGGGAAAGGCAAAAGCAGAGAGAAAGAGCCAGCAATTTCTTAGTGTTCTGTTTCCTATCAATCTCAAAGGATGAGAAGAAAAGTAAAAGCTGCGTCAGTCTGTATCCATGGAACACTTCTGGTGTGGGAGTCTTATGGCTGACCATGGTTGGAGTCCCACTTCATCCACTGTCAGTGACAGGTAACTTTGCACAAGGCTGTAAACACAGCTAGAAGAATGCTTTGGTCTGTAAATTCAATCTTTTTAGATAAGAAAACACAAGGGGCCACGATTAGGATCTCAAAGAGAAATGATGTCAGAGATCCTGGCCTTAGCCTTGACCAGAAGGAGCTCCTGGCTCCTGGTTTCGGATCGGCTCAGCTCTGGTCATCGCGGCCACGTGGGGAGTGAACCACAGATGGAAGATGGCAGATCTACGTGCTAATGCAATGACCTTACCTCTTTCTGCTGCAGTTGACCTCTGTAACTTGCTGACTGCTGTTTTATTTGAAGCTCTGATGTTTCATGTTTCTCTTCAAGATCAGTACATAGTTTTTTGAGCCTTTCATTCTAGAAGAAAAAAAAATACTATTTTCAACAAAAGGACTAAAAGTAATAGTTATGTATCTGGCATTATTAAAAAACATCGATCTTTACAAAAAAAGAAAGGTCAAAGAATTCTTGACGTTAAAAGTTAATTTGCTATTTCTATAATATTCTTAAAGTCTTTGCACACAAATATTATCGGTATTTTAAAGTTAGAGAATTGGAGAGTTGCAGATTAAACAGGGTTGCATTCTTCACATTATACATAAATGCACTTCTACAACTCCACGTACTGTTCAAACATAGTGATTCTTAATAATAATTTGCTGCTTTCCAGGATAAAAAAATACAGATGGGCATTTATTTAAAAAATAGCGAACTGCAGTAAAATGTAAATATTCTCTTCATCAAAGAAGAGTGATAAAAAGCTCTGGGTGGGGGAAACAAGACAAATAAGAGGAAATAAAAAGTAGAAAACACTGCATTTTAAAAAGAGAGGACTGAAATAAAGTGCCAGTGTGGTTTTAAATTTTCCTTACCTCTGACTTTAAGATCGAATGAAGGGCTTCGATTTCACTTTTTCTAGAAGTTGATAATTCTGTTATGAAAGAAACAGAATCCCTGAGCAAATCTGATCAATGCCATTTGAAGTAATAACAGGCGTTTTACAGAAAATAAATTTCACTGAGTTTCGACAGACTGGTAGGCTTACATGAAAGTAAATTCACAGCACACTTTACCGGATTTTCATCACAACTTTCCATTGCTACTAATCACCGGTCACAGGAATCGCTCGTGTCCTCTAAGCCCTGCAGCTTCCAGCTTCCCTGGCCCCATTTTGCATAGTTCTATGCATTTTCATTTAAAGTTATGAACATTTAAAAGTAGGCAAGCTAGAGTCAGAGCCTGCTAACACTAAAATGACATCCTCGAAGCTGTCAGAAAGCCCTCATCCAGAGTCAGGAGGTTTTTTCCCCCTAGGTACTAGCATGTTTTAAACTACTTACATAACATTGTAGCTATTTTTATTCTTATTGGAAAGGCAGATTTACAGAGAGAGAAACAGAGGAGAGAGAGAAAGAAAAATCTTCATCTATGATTCACTCCTCAAATGGCTACAACGACCAATCTGAGGTCAGGGGCCAGGTGCTTCTTCCAAGTCTCTGATTGGACGCAGGACCCCAAAGACTTGAGCCACCCTCCACTGCTTTCCCAGGCTGTAAGCAGGGAGCTGGATCAGCAGTGGAGCAGCTGGGACACAAACAGGTACCCATAGAGGATGCCAGCATTTGTAGGCAGAGGTTTAGCTAGCTGAACCACTGTGCCAGCCCCAAGTTACCAAGTGCCAGCCAGCATTTTAATATTATAAAAAAACTTCCAGTAACAGGTTGTGGTGTGGAAAGATAAACCTCTGACTGATGGGTGGTGGTTTGAGTCTTTGCTGCTCCACTTCAGATCCAGCTCCCTGCTAATGTTCCTCAGAAAGCCGTGCAGACGGCCCACATTCCTGAGCTCCAGTACCCTCATGGGATACCTGGCTCTGACCTTTGGCCTGGCCCACTTCCAGCTGACGTAACCATGTGGGGAGTAAACCAGCAAATGGGAGATTTTTGTCTCTCTGTCTTTCCCTCTCTGCAATTCTGCCTCTCAAATAAATAATCAAAAACAAATAAATGAATAAATAAAAAACAAAACAAAAACACCTTACGGTTTAAATCAAAGAAAATTCAAGCGGCATGTAAGAATCGCAGCCACCTGCATGTCTTGTTTTGAAAATGACCAGGTAGGTTTGCTTCTGTGGTTTGTACATCTCCCTTTAAGCCCTGAGAGGTCTAATTGCTTCTGAAGAGGACAAAGTATAACCTGCTTAGGAAGGTAACTGTTCAAAGCTACAATTATTTCCAAGAGCAATTTAAAGGATTATGCGGATGTCCACCACCTGCCCCTCCCTCCCTTCCCTTAAATCTCCCAACTCCTGGCCCTTTTACGAGGGAGATACTCCACGCAGATTAAAAATGTGAACTCTCCCAATGAGGGAAAGCCACATGTACCGTCTGCTCATGTTAGTGGTCAGGCAGAGCCAGACACACCTCACACTCAACGTTCTGATGAACTCTAAAAAACTGACAGTGGCTGCAAGTGCCCCCAGCTGCTAGATAAGGACAATATGCTTTGTAGAGGTTAAATAGTTACAAATTGCCAATAATTCTATGTGTTGCACCCAGATGCAGAATTTCAACCCGTGTCTATGTAATTTAAAAGCCCAAGTTCCTAACCTTGCCTTAATACAGTTGCAGGATAGCAGCTTTATGGGGCCAGTGCAGGGATGTATCAAGCTAATCTTCAGCCTGCAGAGCCAGCATCCCATATGGATACCAGTTTGAATTCCAGCTGCTCCACTTCCCATCCACCTCCACTGCTTATGGCCTGGGAAAGCAGTGGAGGGTGGCTCAAGTCTTTGGGACCCTGCACCCTCCTGGGAGACCAGGAAGAAGCTGCTGGCTCCAGGCTTTAGATCAGCACAGTCCTGGCCATTGTGACCATTTCAGGAGTGAACCAGTGGATTAAGATCTCTCTATCTTTTCCTCTTTCTCTGTAACTCTCTCAAGTAAAAAAAAAAAAAATTAGAAATAAATCTTAAAAAATAAAAAAGAGAAACTTGGTAATACTGCCAACACGGCTGGTTTTCAAGGTGTCCCAGCAGTGGTACTGTGACCTGCTTTCCTGTTCCATGCTGGCACAGTGTAAACAATAAAAGATTGTTAATGTACCTATAAACAGTAATATTATTTCAACCCCAAACAGACTGTATGTATCGCATGCAATAAGATATTGTGATGTAACCAATGAACGTACAATCAATGTGAGTCAGACTGCTTACGATCTACATCAAAGAATTGTAAAACCTAATATACTTTTAAGATCCTAAGCTACTCGGAAATGGGGAGGGAGAGCAGAGAAATCTTCTATCTCCTTAGAATGTGTGAGGAAGACGTGAAGTATAACCTACCAGGAACATAACAGGTAATTCATAGACAACAGACTCGAATCAGCATTAAACAATAGTAAAACTACAAAGACATATAGGGGGAATCAAGAGGGAATCTGACAACCTTTTAACAGGAGGTCATATGCACAGAGCAGGCGGGAACCCCAGAGTGGACCAGGTGGATAGGAAGAGGCTTGTATCCCAACCCTGAAGACTCTCGGATCCTCACCAAGGACTATCAGTACGGGCACCAAGGACTACATCCCAACTGCCAAGGAGACCACGGAGAATTAGAGTGCCTTGGAGGCCAAGAACTCTGAGGTCATCCACCCCTTTTTGAATACCACATGGGATGCAAGAAGCCCAAATCCTTCCTCACAGGATCGAAGGTCATTGGAACAACAGCCAGGAACCCTGAGTGGTCTGCAGAAACAGAACAGTAAACTTCCTTCGGGACAAGGGAGAGAAGCTTTCTCCGGTCCTTACTTAATTCTAAATTTGGATCCCTATTCTCTCCTGCAATGACCACCAGGGTCGCTCCGGAGCCGCCCTCCCCCCCAAAAGCAAACAAACAAACAAAATTAAATAGATAGAGAACAACAAGGAAAGCTTAGAACAGACAGGAAACGGTCAGCGTGGATTCACATATACCTTACTAGGGAGGGCACAAAGCTTAGTTACTCCTCACTGGGGTATTGAAGATTTCCCTACACACCCCTCCTAAAACTGTTCTGCACCTCAACTGTTGACATATGCCTTGTTAGAGTTATAAGCCAGTTTAGACTATCCTAAAATCTGCCAAATTCAGCAAAATTATGATTCAACACTATAAACTGCTAAATACTAAAATGAAAATAGACACAAGACAGCTGAATAGTACCCTACAGCCATTTTAAGATGTATAGAAGCTGGTTGTATATAAACTAAAATTGAAATGTCAATGAAGTAGTCACAGGATGTGATTAAGAACTTGCATTTTTTAGCATATTGGTTACTCAATACCATGTCAAATAATTCCATAATGTTGTAAATTGTTGTTGATGTTGTGTTGGGGCTTTTAATTGATCAGGATGCTATTCTGCCAGCTCCACCTTCAGACCAGAGATGATCTCCCCAAGAAACAGTTGAATTTTTCTGGACAATAAGATGCTGGACTCTATGTTTGGAATATGTTTGCAAAGAAAAAATATTGAACTGAATTTGAACTGTAATACTGCAACAAGGTGGAGGAATCAATCCACCATGGGGGGAGGGCCCGAGGAGGGGTTGGGGAAATCCCAGAGCCTATGAAACTGTGTCACATATGCAACGTAATTAATACAAAAAAAAAAAACTAAAACAAAAAGACTGTTAATGACTGAACACACTACACTTGGATCACATTTTTAAATGACATACAAAACCAGTAAGTGAGGTATCAACCCAGTGCTAGTGCAAAATAAAATGAAAAGGATCAGGTAACTACAGAATTTTAATCACTCCTTCACATAATTTTCATGGAGCATTCATTAATTACCAACAAAGAAGCCACGTGCTGACTATACAAGGACTGAAAAAGTAGTCCAGGTGCTGCTTCAAGGGAGATGCCCGAAGTTGCACCAGAACATATGTTGCTGGCGAGCAACTCCAATGCTTCTCCAAGTACTGGCCATGTAAGCAGGCTTGGACCCTCACTCCAGGGGCTGCAGTTGGGTGGGTTATAGATGGGCATATGTGTATGAAAGTGCACACACACAACAAGTGGTGTACCAACTAGAAACAGTGGTTAACGAAAGACAAGATCCTTGGCCTTGAAAAAGCAGCAGCTCTGGATTCTGGAGGTAACCGGATCAGGACATTTTAAAGCAAATTTCTTCTTGAAAAAGCAACTGGCAAAACAACAGCAATGCATTGGAGGGAGGAGTAGGCGACAGGACATAAAAGGCAACAGTCTCTGGGACAGCTTTCCGGGGATCTGAACCCAAGCAGGAAGGGTGACCAGGGAAGCGAGCTGCGGTGAGCACCTGGAAATACGAGATGGCAAAGAGACAAAGCGGACATAAAGATGGCTAACTTAGGCAACTGGGCAGATGGTGAAACCATCTGAAAGCACAGCACACAGGGCAGAAAGGGCACAATGAACTCCACCTTGAACATGCCTTACATCCAGCTTGATGGAGGCATGCTTCCTGGCTCAAGAGGTCAAACCAACAGCCAACTCTTTGCTCTCAGTTTCCCAAGACTCTTCAACCCTTCTCTGGGTGATGACTGCCTGCAGGATCCCACAATGGTCAGCTCTAAATCCCTGCTCCCAGACGAGCCCACTGCACCTGCCACCCACAAGGGCCCCAAGAACTACAGCGGACTTCAGCAGCTCCCTCAGTCTCTCTGAAGAGATACCACAAACAATAAACAGAAGCGCTATCTTCCTATCTGTAATCCAGACAATTGTCAAGGCTTAACGCAGGACTTCCACCTTGTTCAATCAGAAAATAAAACCATCAAACGAGCTCTCGCCCAAAATAACAAAATAAAAACAACAGCCCTCTATGTGCTGGAAGGCAGACCTGCGCTGAAAAAATGTCCAAATTCTTCGGATCCAAACAGTTATCTACACAGGCAAGTATACCCGCAACACACACTGTACCAGCACAGTCGGCCAACAACCCAACACAACAAGGGAACTCGCGAGCAAATAACATCCCGGGGCCTCAGAGGGCAGGTGGCACCACCGCTTCAGAGTGATTTCAACTGTCAGGAAAACACACCAGAAGACAAGCACCACCCAAAACAGGTGCCTGTTTGTCCCGCGCCATTCTCCCAAGCGGGTCAAAGTTAGGAGGGCCACACAAGTGGTGGGCACAGACGCACCCAATTCTTCTGAGGATCTTGATATCTCTCTCTCTCCACAGAGGCACCCAACACTTTACAGGATCAGATCTCTCTCTCTCTCTCTCTCTTTCTCTCACACACACGTCCTGCGCCCCCGAGAGAAGGGGCTGGGCAGGAGGCAGGAGGAGCACTTAGGGGAAAGGACGGAGGGGCACCGTGTCCCGACCGACGCCCGTGGGAACCGGCCCTCCCTGCTTTCCCTCCCTCCAGCTGTTACCTGCTACTTCCTCCGCTCCTTCCAGCAGCATATCCTTGGTAAAGTTTGATATATGGCCAGTGAGGGACGCCAAGCTGCCCCCCACTTGGCCCAAAGAATGGCCTAGACCAGAGCTGATGCCCCCTAGCCAGGAAGACATCGCTGCGGGTTTCTGAGAACCGATTTTTTAACATCAAATCGCCGTCGTACGCTTCCTGACGATCCCGCCGAACTTTCTCCAACCGCGACTAATCCAGAATTCGGGGTTCAGCAGGTGACAGCACGATGTGGGGTTCCTAAGCAACGCCGGCGCGAGGGGGGCCCACCAACTGCCCCAAGACCCAGTCCCTCGTGACGGCGTCACCGCGAGCTGCTTCCGCTCCTTCCCACGACGTCCCACCGTTCGAGCAGGCACACGTCCTTCTGCCCTGGCTTTAATGACTTTGCCCAGTTCCGCGGGACACTACTGCCAACTCGACGCCGGCCGCCATGACACTCGCTCTCCAAGCGGCGGGGATCATAGAGACGCGCCGCGGTGGCGTAGAGGGGCCCTGCAGAGTCGCCGGACGCAAAGGAGCGTGGGACCGCGGAGGACTGCGTGCAGGGGCCTGGCGGGAGGCCCGGGCCGGGAGCTCGGGACAAGGGCGGCGTCCACGTCGCCCGCGGGGTCTGGCCGTGACAGCAGCAGTTGGAAGCTCCGGTTCTCGGGACTCTCCACGGCCGAGCTTGCAACCCTGCCCCGGCCACCTGGAAGCCCTCGACCCGGGAACTCAGAGGGCGGTCCTCGTCGTGTTCTTGGCTGTTTCCTTTCGAACTACATCCGCGAAAGCAGTGCGTGCGGTTCCAGGAGCCTTGGCTAGGGGGATCCGCGGGCGCTGGGGGAAGCGGCTTGCAGGAGCTCTTCACACGCCTCCGTGCCGTTTGTCCCACACCCTGAGAGGGCTGTGGAGGGCCCCGAGCTGTCCCGGACGGGTTGCGGACTGAGGCGTCCGGACAGGACCCGCACCTGTTACTGACAGCGTCAGTCACGGCCTGTCTCCCGGAGGCTTTGCAGCCCGCCTTGGGGACGCCGGCTCCTTGGGTTTTGCTCCAGAATCAGACTTCACCTCTGACGCGCTGTGGGGGTCATGGACGCTCCCCACCTTCGGTGGACGTGGGAGGCCCCGGCCTCACCTCGGCCACACGCTCGCACACACCTGACAGGAGGCCCTTTCCTACCGGAAGAAAGCTGGCTACGTGGCACTGGCGCGCTGGGTGCACTGGGGCGTGGGCACACAGCACCCAGCCCCGGAGACGTTTGTGCTTTTTGTTTTGAAAGCTGGGGATGATGGCTGTGCATTTCTGTTAAGAGCTGCAGTAAATCCACTAGCATCTTTTCTGAGCCTGTTCACGGCCCGGGATGGTGCCCACTCCGGGAATGCAATAGCAAAATGTCTTGCATCTTTGGAACCCTGTCTGCTGCAAACAGTAACTGCCCTCTGCTGGGGTCCATGCAGTGGGCGTGGATGGCACGAAGGTGTAAAGAGAACAGCTCCCCTGTGTGGCAAGGCCCCGGGGGGTTTCCAGCTGTTAGGCAAGGCCCAGCGGATTTCTCTCTGACCGCGTTGACACAGTTTCACCCACCTTTTTGCATGGACACTCAAGCACCCCTCTAAGAATTCTGTAGTCTATTGAGGCATTGTTTGCCCCTGTGGGATGGCTTTTGCCACCAACGTGAGCTTGAGAGTTAATGTTATTGATAATGTCTTGGTGAGTGGGCCTTTAACTGCGCACAGGAGTACAGTTAAACCCATGCCATTTCTGGACACCTGATTTTGTACCTGCCCATTGCCCTGAAATTGGGCCCAGACATATAGCATGCCTTCTGGGAAACGGCTTAACAAGAATTTTACAAAGTAATGGAAGTGATGGGAGTGAGAGCTGAAACTGCTATGGCAATAAATATAGTCATTGTTATCTCAAAGGCTAGCCTGCCTTTACAGTTTTTTGGAGCCTAGAAAATGTAATTGTTTTAGCTGCATTTATGATTTTTAGCTAGAGGAATTAAGGATGCTTTTATTAACAAAAATGCATTTGATTATTGCTTTATTGTTTATGGGGTTGTAGGAGTCTATAGTTGTAGGGGGATTTAACATTTGAAGTTTCTGTTTTAGATTTTAGGTTTTTCCCTTGTAACCTATTTTCCCATTAAATAATGGGTAAATTGTAGAAATAGAAATGTGGAAGGAATGTACTACTGATTAGCAGGTGCCTTGGTCTTGGAGTCCTGGCTGTCGCTCCATGGCTACTGTTGAAGAATGAATAATGGCTTGCTTTGAAGAATATGAATACAATGCTTTGCAGAATTATCTTTAGGGGCACCTGCTTAGCCTTGAAGTGCAGGCAGAGTGATCAAATGTCTGTACATGCCCCCTTAGTCTTGAAGTAAAAATAGAATAATTAGTTGCTTGTGCAGAAGCTTGTGAGGTGTTTCAGTAAATAAAAAGGACAGCTTTTTCTTGAGCTGTTGTGAGAATGCACCAAGTGTCTGTGTCTTTCTTTATCGCCAACTCCACGCACCCTTCCCGAGCTCCGAACTCGGCTGGAGCTGGACTCTGGCAGCCCTCTCTGCAGGGTGGATGCCTTTTAAAAGAAATTCGCACCCTGTTCTGGAAGTGTTTGTTACATGCTTTGCGTGTTTTTTATGGGCAAGGCATCCTCGCTTCTGAAATCTGCAGAGTGGTCCAGAGGAACACCTGCCGTATTACTCTGAAGCCACCAGGTCCATTCACCTTGGATGGCTGTGCATACATCATCTCTCAGCCCAAGCCTTTGTTCCTTATCTAGTCTCTGAAACAAGTAGTCTTTTTCTCAAGAGGCTCATTTCAGAGGGCAAGCTTGTGACCTGTCATATTATGAGGACAGTGGTCCCCAACTGGGAGGAGCTTACCCCTGTTTACCAAAAGCCCATCTCTCCTGGTCAAGTCAGTATATGTTAGCATCCAGCTCCCTGCTTGTGGCCTGGGAAAGCAGTAGAGGTTGGCCCAAAGCCTTGGGACTCTTGCACCCACGTGGGAGACTGGAAAGAGGCTCCCAACTCCTGGCTCAGCTCTGGCGGTTGGAGCCACTTGGGGAGTGGCCCACTGGATGGGAGAGTTTTCTTTCTCTGAAATTTGCCTTTCCAATAAAAATAGGGAATTCTTAAAAGGCAGGATTAGCAGGGACAGAGATCTTCCCTGCACAGGCTAAGCCTCTTCCAGTGTGTGCAGGCTGATGCCCTGCCCTCTGGACCTTGTGTTTCTCTTCCTGGAAGCTTGTCAGGTCTCCTGTTTATCTCAGACGCTCTAGAATGAATGATGTGCTCTTATGTGAGTTTTTGTTTCATTCATTGTGGCAGGCACTCAGTGAGGCCTTTCAAAACTGTGACCATTAGCTCTGTCAGCCAGTTCAAGTATTGATGAAGGATTCCTCTCTGGGGAGTCTGTTTCTTGCAGAAACTTAAACCAAAACTCCTGATCCCAGTCCACCTCCCATAGTTTCTTTCTCTCATTTTGTGTTCATTCCTGGTGTTCATGTTTGTTGACACTTGATCATTGGTTTTTGGTTCTGCTCACTCTCCCATTTTCATCTTTGAAAAAATGTTCAGATCTCTTCTGCTCTCACAGGAGTATTTGCTGGTCGTTCCCCGGGTGTTTTCCCCTTTTGTACAGTTAACTGAATTCCCACTTTTGACCTAGCTTCCATTCCCTGAACTCCGTTTTGGAGAACATTAGCTAGCAGCACTTCTGTCAGTGGGCAGCCTCAGGCCGTGAGAGCCCACTCTGGGTTCCCTGGGGCCAACGGTCTTGGGAACTGAAAATGCTACAGCTGTTCCATCTGGACAGGACCACCCTACGTGCAGCCACACTGTCTGCCCGGTGCAGGCTTCTGTTCCTAGTGTACTTCCCATCCTCCCGCGTGGGTTCAGGGGCCCCGAGGACCTCTGCTGTTTTTTTGTTGTTGTTGTTTAAAAGTTACATGTTTTGTCTTCAGGGTTAAAAAAAAGGTTGAGCAAAAAATAAAAGTTGAGCAAACATTTAAAAACATACATTGTAAATAAAAACTTGGAATCATAGGTTTGCTCTGTTACATGCCTGGAGCAGATCTCGGGGAGGAACCATCCTAGGGCTTTCCCAGCCCAGCAGCTGGTCAGGGAGCATGCGCAGTCCAGGGCTTCTCCATCCCCTGGGAGCCTGGGCAAAGGCAGGTTCTGACTCAGTGGGTCAAACTGTGGCCTGGCACTGCATTTCTGCAAAGCTGCACAGGCTGTTGTCCTCGAACTCTTACTCTCTGAAGTGGCACAAATGAAAAAGGAAATACAAAAGCAAACATTCTCTTTATTTAATCATCTTTGATATTTAAAATACAACTCATGGAGCATCCACAGTAACAATCGAATCCTAAGCATTACACAGTGCTTTGGAAGCCCGGCTTTTCGCGGACCAGACACCAGATAGGAGGCCCATGTGGATGCCCTCAGCAAAGCAACTCTGCGAGGAGCACACACAGAGGGGCTGCAGGGTCGGGTCCTGAGCAAAAAGCGCACACAGCACTACCACAGGGCACTTGTAACGTGGCCAACAGACTATGCCTTTCACTTCAGATAGCTTTCATACTTCAAATATTTATACACAATAGTCATTTAAAAAAAAAAAACCAAATAAACAGGTATTCCTAGTAGTCCAGTGTTGTAGAAATTAACAATCACATTTCAAATGTGTATTTTCCTTTTTTAAAAAAATGGCATCATTTACCTTTGAATTACACCAGGGACCTCCTCCATAAATCAGGAATTCCTGCCTGGACAGACTTCCTGCTGTTTGTCCAGGAACCCCATCTTAAAATATTCATTGGTACATGATTAAACATGCCAATTAGTAAACATGAGATTAGAAGTTATTTGCATTAATTCTTAGATGCCAAACCATTTCTGAATAAGAACAAATTTTTCAACTTAGAAAAGAATTTCAAGAACCAAACTTCTTCCAGAAAAGCAGAAAATTGTTTTTATTATAGATCAGACTAACTTTAAAAATACAAAGCCAGTTCATTCCTTCAGCCAAAGACAGTAGTTAAACAGGAACTAGGAATGAACAAAAATTTTTGAATATGAAAAAAATATTTACAGTGCTGAAATGATTAGTTGATCCAATCTGATTTTTCTTAATTAAGGTCAGATTTCTAATTTTATTAGGGCACAGATAAAATAAACGACTCACTGTGGAAACAGTTTCCTCAGACCCCTCCAACTGAAGATTCAGTTTTTAATAGAAAATTATCAATAACTGGTTCCTGCCAAGAATTTAAAACATGGCTTTTCACTTAAGATTGACTAAGCACGAATCAGTCTTTCTTGGATTTGCACAGGTCCACTGGACCCGTTTTCAGAATTTAGCAATGCGTGGGACTGGCATGACTTTTTAGATGGTATGAAGTGTGTAGACACAATGTCACTTGGGCTATGATTGGAATAAAATTTGATTTAATATTAAATAATAAAAACTACTGGTAGTTTCGCCTGTAAGACTCAACTAGTTTTGAGCTTTTTTCCTCATTAACTTTGACATCATGAATAAAGACTTAATTAAGAAAAATCAACTTTGAAGAAAAAACAAAGCACCTCTTTCTGAAAAATATTCTGTGAATTGTAAATTATTTGGCTATGATCTTAGAGTTTAATTATAGGGTTTACCTGCAACAATCTTTTCAAGCTATTTACATTGCTGAAACATTTATGTTAACTGTTGTAAAAAAAAAAGTATTAGTGGAAGTTTTAGATTTGAATTTTTAAAGCACAAATAATTACTTACTAAACCATGATATCTGAAAAGATGAAAGTGGTATTTCCAAAGTTGGCTTAAAGTTTAATTACACACTTACATCACCACTATATATATTTTATCCCAGTAATACAAATTACATTAGAAAAAAGATACCAATAGTTTAAATATTAAACATTAAAGTGTTCCCAATTGGTAAAACAGAATGGAAATCTTTATAAAGTTCTTAGGAGAGTAATCATTAATTTCATTGTTCCTGATCTTATTGTAGGTGGTTTATAGTCAATGGTATCTCTTGTTATATGAACTATATAGCTTTGTATACTTTCTGATACTATATTATGAAGAATTGGCATTTTTCATAATGGCCAGTTAAGATATTAAATATAAATGTTCAATGCAATTTAAGCTAGTCCAAACAACATGGCAGCTTACTACAGATTCTAAATGTGCCTGCCCAGGATAACAATTCCACAAAAAACTACAGAACATTCAAACGTATCCAGCGTGTGCTTCGCTCTGCTGGAACCAAGACAGGTCACCATGTCACATCTACTTAAGTGCTTGAACTAGGGTGTATAATATATGAATTTCATAAAATATGCAACATTTAAATATATATTTAGTTTCTTCATTTTCCATTCGGTAGCAGCAGTTGAAGTACATGGGAAGTTTCATGTGATTTTCCAATAGGAAGAGATAAGGCCAACTCTGAATGGGAATTGTGACTGTATCCTGGGGACCCTTACATAAAATGTTCTGTCTTCAAATACTCAGGTTTATAAATCCTGAGGGAGTAGCACAAAACTCCAACATTCCTTGCAATTCTAGGTTTTAATTCTTCTGAAACATTTTCCATTGTTAAAAGAGGCCCTTACACTTTAAAACTCTTAACTTTGTGTAAATCTAAAGGAAATTTCAGAAAACTTTGAATTGGCACAAAATAATCTAAAACAACTTCTATACAAGAAAAAAATTATTTCTTAATCATAAATAAGATATTTTCTCTTTTCAGTGACTTAGTAATATATCACAGAACAGAAAACTTTCCCTGATTAAACATGTGCAGCCAGGCACCAGTAGGGTCGCACACCACTCTGAATTATTTAAGCTGTTGGTTGCAAATTCTTGAATTCTAGCTCATGAATGATTCAATATATCCAAAAGGCCCTCAGAAAGGAATGGGAACTGGAGAGCTGCGTGAGCTGAGCTGCGTGGAGCCCAGCAATTTCAGAGAGACATGGTTACACTTCATTGAAAGCATGCTACTCCATGGACCCAACAACAAACTCTGTGCATCTTAACTAAACAATGTTTATCAAAACTAAGGACTTGCTTATTAACACACATTAAGTATGGTGCCTTCTATAATCCTTCAGGTGTTTAAACAAGCAACTGTCAGATCACAATACCAATTTAAACATTTTCATTAGTAAACGGATCTTATGTTGCAGATCACATCTACTAAGCCCCAACCACTAACAACAGGTGTGATTCAGAGTCTACATTCAATTATGAATAGAAAAGAAAAAAATTATAAGGAAATAGACTAAAGTTGAAGGCCAAATTGTGTCTATCATACATTCATGGTGGGTATTTACATAAAATCATCTATCAGAAAGAAACCTGCTTGCATACTATGCTTCTATTTTTTCTCAAGTGGAGGAGAAAGGAAACAATAAGGCCCAGGAAAGAGTTACAACAAATCTGTAAAGTTGCGACATAACTGAAGAACCATTCACAAAGCAGCTCCAGAAGCATGCCCTTGCTTCACCATTTCTTCCCCGCTTTCTGTGCTGACATCAGACAGGGGAATGTGCCAGTCAGGAGGTGAGGACTGCTTCAGTGGGGGCTTACGGGGCAAGCCAGGACAGAGCAGGGGCGAAGAGTTGTACAAAAATAAGGAAAACCAGAGAGCAGGGACATTGTGTTTGGAGAAAATAACAAGGGGAAAGCCCCAAGGTCACACATGGTGCATGGATGCTGAGGGAGAAGAGTTTATCCTTTTGGAACCAGTACTATGATGCTAACCTGAAAAGGTGAAGTTGGTTAATAAGAAATAAAAGCAACTGTCAGATGAAAATGAGTCAAATGAGCCACAAGAGGCAAGACAGTAAAACTATAAGGACAAGGTTCTGTGGCAAGAGGCTAGTGTGCAGAGAAGTCCCACAGCACAAGGCTCTTATCTCAGGCATGTTAGGGATCACTATCAAAAAAAGAAAAAGGAACATTTAGAAAACTATTTCAAATGTCTTTAATTGCTAAATGCCTTTGGCTAGTGTGTGGAGGATCATTATTTAGTCCTAATAACAGACAGATTTTCCCACTTTTTCATCATTTTGTTTGCAAATCACCTAAAAGTCTCCTCTCCCCGGTGGAACACTGTTCTTTTGGGTACACTGCTGAAATGAACCCTATCCTGTCACCCCACAGGATAATATCAGAAAACCGGAGCATCTAAATCATCGTTTAAAGGCATTATTTTTTTCCTTCTGTTTTCAAGTGATTTTGTACAGTTTCTAAAGACATGGTCACAGCTGCCTGAAGCATGTCTTCTTCGCTCATAGTGTCATCTGTTAGGAAAGAAAAACATACATTTCTTAGAAATTTCTGGAAAATCATGAAAGTCACCAAAAGGTAACTTGCTTTAATGTTTATTTTTTTAAGTTGGCAGGCTAAGCAACCACCTGTGATGCCAGCATACCATATACGAGTGCCACCTTGAGTTATTTTTTTTAAAGACTTACTTTATTTTTCATGGGAAAGGCAGATGATAAACAGAGAGGAGAGAGAGATCTTGCATCTGCTGGTTCATGCCCCAAGTGGCTGCGATGGCTGGAGCTGAGCCAATCTGAAGCCAGGAACTTCTTCCAGGTCTCCCATATGGGCGCAGGATCCGAAGGCTTTGAGTCGTCCTCCATTGCTTTCCTAAGTCACAGGCAGGGAGTTGGATGGGAAGTGGAGCAGCTGGGATATGAAGAAGTGTCCATATGGAATCCCAGCACATGGAAGGCAAGGATTTAGCCACTGGGCTACTGCACTGGGCTTCAGCTTGAGTCTTAGATGCTCCACTTCAGATCCAGGTCCCCAATAATGATCCTAGGGAATGCAGTGGGGGATGGTTGGGGTGCTTGGGATCCCACTACCCAAGTGGGAGATTCAGAAGAAGCTCCTGGCTCCCATTTAGTTAACTACAGATGGAAAATTTTTATCTCTCAGTTTATTTTCTTTCAAATAAATAAGGTGATCATTTATTAGAAATATACGTATGTACATATATATTTGATAGGTAGAAGTGACAGAAAGTGGAAGGAACTAGGGAGAGAAATCCTCCTTCCACTGGTTCACTCCCCAGATGCCTGCCAAAGCCAGAGCAGAGCCGGGAGGAAGGTCTCCCGTGCCCCCCAGGAGTGGCAGGAAGCCAAGTGCCCGTACCATCATTTGCTGTCTCAGGTGCATGCCAGTAGGATAGCTGGGACTTGTGACACTTCCACATGGGTTGCAGGTGTCCCAAGTGGCAACGTGACCTGCTCTACCACAGCATCTTTCCAAAAAGGACTGAATTTCTTAGGAAATACATTTCTATGTGGCACCAGTTTCCTCTTCTGATTTTTTAATTCATATAAAATAAAATTCACTTTTATAGTTTAACATTTTAGTAAATGCACAGTTACATGCACATAACCAGGATAGAGTTGTTTCATTGCCAGGCCCCTACCTCCCTAGTTCCTTAGTCCTATGCAGTGAGCCCTCAGGCCTTGGTACCCACTGATGTGGTGTGCCCTGTGAGGTGCCCTTTCTTGCATTCCATATGAATGGAAACAATGATGCAGATATAACTTGTTCGACTTAGCATAACTGTAGCTGAGATTTGATCAATGCTTTGCGCTTTCCAAAATTCTTTACCTTGAAATAGCTATCAATGCAGAGTTGCAAAGGCGGCTCAGAGAATCTCCGCATCTCCTTTAACCATTTCACTCCATAGTTACAGTTTATGTAACTAAAGCACAAACCACAGCCCAGACCGTGCCACAGCACAGTGCTGTGTGCAATCCTGGATGGCATTCTACCGCGCCAGAGGATTCATGTGACCACACTGCCAAGACGGAACAGCACCACCAAGACCCAGCTCATGATAACTGTATCTTATTTACACCTGCCAAGGTGCACCCTCTTCCCTACCTGCTGGCAGTCACGAACCTGCTCTCTGACTTGACACATGGCACTGTTACAATGTTAGATGCATGGAGTCATACCAGACCTGCTGAGATGTCCTAGGGTTCCACCCCAGTGGCTGTATCTATCCATGGGGGCTTCTCATGGTGTGAAGACGTCACAGCTAACCATTCACCTACTGTAGGACTGATGGTGCCTTCCTGGTTCAGATTCTGACAACTAAATCTGTATAGACGGCTTGTATAGGTTTTTGTGTGGATATCAAACTCTACTTCTTGAGGACCAATGCCCACTGAGCATAAACGTCATATCCCAGAGTCAATGCTCTCTGTGTTAAGAGCAGCCAGGCGCTGGCAGTTGGTGTCTTTGGTCTTCAGAAGCCTGATGTGTGTTAGTGTGAATTTCTATGGGTTTATTCCATTCAGAATTTTTCAGCCATCATTTCTTTGGTCCCATTTCCTCCTCTTGTCTAAGATGCTCATAACAGATGCTGGGTCTCTGCTCATTCCTTCCAGTCTGTTCTGTGGCTCAGAAAGGGCCACTGCTGTTCCTGTCCTCAAGGCTACAAGTTCTGTCTTCTCTGTTCTGCTGCTGTCCATCTGCTGCATTTCAAATTTGTTACTGTTATTTTACAGGTATAAAACTCATGCGACTCTTCTTTGTAGCTCCTTTTCTTTGCCAAAACTTGTTTTTTCGCTGGATTCAAGCATATTCAACGTGACTGCTAACAGAAGCATTCTAACGACCACCGAGTGGCATCTTGGTTCTCCTCCGGGCTCCATATGGGAAGCCAGAGGAATGCCTACTTGGTACCAGTGGCAGCTCGTGCCCTGAGGCCAATGGCACCACTCAGCTGCCTGCTTGGCTTTCTCATGACACCACTCCAGTTGGCAAACTTAAAGGCTGACTTAGGCTCCTACTTGGCTTTTGCTGACAGGGCTGCAGTTGGAGGAAGGCCAGTTTGCTCTGTGGTTGTTGACCTGTACCGCTGTTTGTTATCTGAAAGCTTGTGTTGCGGGGCAGACACCTGGACTGGTGGCTAAGATGCTGCGTGGAAAGGCTCATCACTCCTGCAAGGCCTGAGTTCTAGTCCTGGTTCCACTCCCGAGTCCGGCTCCCTGCTGACATGCACCCCGAGAGGCAACAGCGATGGGCCCCACCACCCATGTGGGAAACCTGACTGAGCACCCACCCACCTCCTGCCTTTGCCAGGTCGAGTCCTGGATATAATGGGCACATAGGGCATGAAACAGCAGATGGAAATTCTCTCTACCTCTTACATCAATAAAACATATAAATTTGAAAATAAAGGCTAATCCCTCTCAGCTTTTGTCTTGCTGGGCAGCCCCTTTTGCCTGGAGACAGCAGGCTTTCTTCTCTTGGCCTGCACCTGTGGCTGCTCTTGCACCCATTCTACGACTCTCTGAGGCAAAAATCCTGGGTTGTCTCTTCAACGTGGTTCCTGTGCTCCAGAGGCCTCAAGCCTGTCTGTCTTTTCTCTTCCTTTGAGATTCTGACTCAGTTGTGTGGCCATACCAGAGCTTGTGTATCCATTTGACATAGGAAGGGTAACACAGGCAATTACCCATTTGTGGTAATTACAGGTAAACTAGCGCGAGCATGCGTGTGAGCTTTTGTGTGGCAGGACTGCTGATTAACATGGTTAGGATACATTCCAAAGCTAATGCACCCCTGTACATTCCCACTAGCAGTACAGCAGAGTCCTAGTTTCTGATTCTTGCCAATATATGGTACTTTTTTTTTCATTAAGCCACTTTCTCAGGTGTGCCAAGGTCTCTTCCTATAGATTTCAAGTGTATTTCCCCTAAAGACAACTCAAGTGGAACCTCCTTCCTTTTGCCTATCATTTCTACACTCTACTTGGTGAGAAATCTCCAGCCCTCCACCTGTTGGCTGGGCTGCTCTCTCTTCTCAGTGGGAGGGAGCTACACATCTGCCGACAAGTTCTTTCACTCTGCCTGCACGAGCAGGAGTTGCCTGAAGTTTCAGACTGTTACTCTAAGACCAGGTAAGGAACTCTGGATTTCCTGACAGCCAAGCATCCCAGCAGTTTTCCAAGTGGTAAACATATTTATTCTGCACCTACTGATATTCATTACTTCTGAGGGATGTCTGTGTGATCTGTGATGTTACAACTATTGTATTTATAATTTTAAAGCCAAAAATGGACTTCCCTAGTTGGCCTGCTTTTCACTCCAGGAAAACTGAGTAGCTCATAAGTTCATTTAAGAGTTCCAACATTAAAAAGGGAAAGAAGATTACAAGGCAAAAATCACATGGAACTTATGCATTAAACAGAGCATGCAGAAGATAAATGTGCATGGTCAGAGGGCTGTACCTAGATCACTCCCAGGGGCTCCAGAACTTGTGGTCAGCCTTTCCCGGGGCTGAGAAATCTGTCCTGGAGGAGCTGCCTGCTGCTGCTGCTGCTGCTCCTGCTGCTGCCTAAAACAGTGAAAAGGAATGATACGTTAAAAAAAAACAAGACTCAGGAATAAACACAGAATGAGAAATTCACTCACATGGAAAACAAAGTGTCCCACAGATAAAATAGGCACTGTCACATACGCTGACACCAGGGTAGTGTCTAAGACTTACTACTCAAGAGACAGCAGGTTCCTGCGCTAAGCAACTTAGACAGGAAGTGTAAATTCATCACATTAACGGGCTATTTTCACCACAAAATATCTACTGTACCAAAGAAGTCACAATTAGCTTTTCTTACACAATCCGTACACTGTTAACAGTGTCAGAAGTCACTGCAAACAGTACCTCCGAGGAGACAGAGCATCCTGTGACCATGTGAGCCAGCTGGACCAAACACTCCTTCTGGATCCTTCTCACTCAGCCCTGAGCAGCGGTATCTCCCTGGTCAGGAATTTCCTGTCCCCACACTGGGGGAGGCCTCTCAGTGCTGCCACTGTGTTCTCACTTCACTTTCCCTCTCAGCATAAATTTACACTGTCTGATTTTCTTCTGCTTGTCTCCTCTTTCAAAGTATAAGCTAACAAAATGCAAATCTTGCTTAGCTGTTTTCCCAATGCCTAGAACTTTATCAAGTAGTATTTGCTAAAAACTTGATGAAAAATAAAACTTTATCTAATATGCGCTACAAAGTTGCCAGGAGTATTAATACATACTGACGTATCTTTTCAAAAAGAAAACCAATGCTACAAAAACATCCATTACTAAGTTTAAACAAAATGGTTAGACTATAAATATGCAAAATAACCTTGCTTAGAAAATACACACTAAAAGTATTGACATGGAACTGAAAAATCATGTCTGTAAGTTATTCCCAAAGAGTTCAAAAATATCAAGGATTAGGGGCCGCTATACTTTTTCTGCTTCTATGTAAATCTGACGTGAGGAGCCGGAGTGGTAATGCAGTGCATTAAGCCACTGCCTGTGACCCCAGCTTCCCACATGAACCCTGGCTCACTCCTGACTGCCCGTGTTTGATCATCCAGCTTCCTGCAGAAGCACCTGGGAAAGCAGAGGCAGGTGGCCTCCGTCCCTAGCCCCTGCCACCCAGGCTGGAGACCTGCACGAAGCTCCTGGATCCTGGCCTTGGTCTGACCCAGCCTGGCTGTCACGGCCATTTGGGGTGTGAAGCAGCAGAGAGATCTCTCTATCTCAATGTCTCTGTATCTAATTCTGACTTTCAAACAAATAAAAATAATCTTAAACATTATTTGAGGGTCTGGCGTGATGGCCCAATGGGTAAAAGCCTCATTTTGCATGATCCGGGATCACATATGAATGCTGGCTTGTGTCCCAGCTGCTCTACTTGCCATTTGGTTTCCTAATTGTGGACTAGGAAGGCATTAGAGGATGACCCAGAGCCTTGGGACCCTGAAACACGCTCCTGGCTTCAGGACAGCTCAGCTCCAGCTGTTGCAGCCACTTGCAGAGTGAAACAGCGGGCAGAAGATCTCTCTCTGTATTTCCCTCTCTCTGTAATCTGCCTTCCCAATAAAAATAAACAAATTTTAAAATAATTTGAAATAATTTCATGTATATATAAACACACAGAAAACTAAAAATAAAACTTACAAATGGTAACCTGCTTAACAATCCACAACCTGGGGATGCATTGTGGAGAAGCAAGTTAGGCATCTGCCTGTGATGTTCACAATCCCACATGGGTTTCGGTTTGAGTCCTGCCTTCCCCATTTCTGACCCAGCGCCCTGCTGATGCACCTACGACGGCCCAAGTGCTTGGGCTCCTGCACCAACTTGGATGGAAGATTTATTTTCTCCCCTTGGCTCTCCTTCAAATAAAAGTTAATAAACAAAGCAAAATAAAAGGAAAAAAAAAAGCCAGGTGACTCAGTTGGAAAATCTTCCACCTGCAAGTGCCAGCTGCTCTACTTCCTAGCTCCATACTTGTGGCCTGGAAGAGCAGTGGAGGATGGCCTAAGGCCTTGGGGCCCTGTACCGCTTAGGGGGTCTAGACGAGGTTCCTGCTCCTGCAGATTTGGATCTACTCAGTTCTGGCTGTTATGACCAAAGCGAGGGAAGTAGGGACAAACAGATGGAAGATTTTTCCCTGTCTCCCCTCTAAAATCTACTTTCCCAATAAAAACAAATTTTTTTCTAAAGAAGCCATAGCTTAAAAAAAAAGTACATAAAGATTTAAAAAGGGATCAGAACTTATTATTAGCCACACTACCAATAGCACAAGATCTTTTATCCAGGATCCCTCTGAATCTTACATATTAAAGATGAGTGTTAGAGAAAAGTCAACCAATGGGAACTATACGGCCTTTCCAGCTGGCCTTTCAGCCAGAATGCGGTCATGTGTGTGGGCGTGAGGCTGCAGGGCATTGTGTCAGTGATGCGGACCCAGGCAGCACACACCCACCAGCAGTCCTATCTCTGCAACGTGACACAACAAAGTCAGACTGGGGGTGATGGGGCACTTCTGGCACCTCTCCTCCTCCAGACTCTCCTCCCATTCTATGGAACAAAGTCTGCCAGAGTTCAAGGGAATGGCAGGCAATAGAATAGTTTCAGAGGAAACAGTTTTATTCTTCTTTTTAAAAATGTGTTTTATACTACTTATGGGATTATTTACTTCTTTTCCTAAGAGATTTAAAAGACTGGGTCAGGCCAAAGCCAGGTGTTTATCTGGGTCTCCCAGGTCAGTGGCAAGGGCTCAAGCACTTAGGCCATCTTCCTCTGCTTTCCCAGGATTCACCAGCAGGAAGCTGACTTTGAAGTGGAGCATCTGGAATCAAACTGGCACACATGAGATAGCACATATGAGACTGGCACATATGATACCAGTCTCCCAGGCAACATCCCAACCTGTTGTGCCACAACGTCAGCCCCAGGTTATTCTATTTTTAATTTAGGAAAAAGGAAAAATAAGCAGTTGTCAACTTTGAAGCTGTCTGACCCTTAGAGCTGTGATGCGTGGAGACTGCTCCACCAGCACTTAACACCAGCACCCAGCACCCATTCTTGCTGTGTATCAGAATTTAAACAAAAGGGTACTGTCTAAATTATAATGCATCTATTCATTTTATGAAATATGCAGACTGGCCAAAGGATATTTACTTAACTGAGAAATAACTGTTACACAATACATGTGTGACTCTGACTGGAAGAGAATGTGTCCAAAATAGTAACATCAATTACTGAAGAGTGCTGGAAGTGTTTTGTTTTATTCTGTAGTACAGAGGGTTAAGGCACCTCCTGCAGTGCTGGAATCCCACATGGGCACTGGTTCAAGTCCTGACTGCCTCCATTCTGATCCAGCTCCCTGTTACTGTGCCTAGCAGAACAATGGGAGATGGCTCAAGGACTTGGGTCCCTGCACCCACTTAAATTTTCTGGAATATTAATTTTATCTAACTATGTAATTTTAACACTAAATAAAACTAGCACTGATCAGGTATTTGATGATATGAAATTACTAATAATTTCCATGTAATTACCATTGTGTGACAATACTGTTCGCCTATATAAAAACAAAAAGCTCATATATCTCAGATATACATAGTGAAATTGTTATAAACTAAGTGATACAAAAGAGTCCAAGCTTGGAAGAGAGAGAATAGAAAGAATAGAAGCTGGGAGAATAAAAAACACTGGTCTTATGCCGTATTTATTCAATCTGAGTAATAATAAATAGTGGCTCACTAGGTTAGCATTTCCATTTTTGCATAAATCTGAAGCTCATTCTAATTTAGAAATGATAAAGCTAATTTGAGAATTTAAAAGTGCAAAGAACTAGTAAGCACTATTTCCAATTTTTAAATATAATGAAATCCATCAACCTATCACCGAATAAAGACTGGAAATACCTCACATTAAGAGGATGCCAGTTGTTCAGAACTTCGCTTCAAATACTTCTGAGTTACGATTTAAAATAAAACACAAACCAGATAAAAAGATGAACATTGTCATCATTACATCACCAAACGTAAACTGGTATTGCTAGAATTCTGCCAACGAAGGTTCTAAGATGCTTCTCAATTACAGACACACTGAGGAGCAGAAGTACGTGCACCTTGACACTGAGGAAGCACACTCAGTAACAGACCAGATGCAGCTGGGAACAAGGGCCTCGTGGCAGTGATGACTCAGCACTATGGTTGCCTCCGTGTCACTCGTGCGGATGGGCAGGAGGACCCACCCATGACGCGGCAATGAGTAGGGCAGTCCCTGGCACCTCTGCCTGGCAGTGAGCTTCCGCATGCAGGATGAGAGTGCTGCTGCATAGCCGACAGGATTCTGCAGGGCTGGTCACTAGGCATTGTTCTGATCCTGCTCCAATTCCATTTTCCTTTTGGTAAATGAAATTTCCCAAGGTTTGCTTTGCTCCATTTCTTAAAAATTTACAGATTTGAGACAATGTTTCTCCCTAAATCTACACTGCATGTTGCTGTAAATCTTCCAAATATACATTCAACTGTTCAGCAGTCATTTGCAAGCACATAAAATAGCCAAAAATGTTTAACATGAAATTTTAATTTGTACCAACTACTTTACTTTTCAAAGTAGGCTTCTCTTCTCTTCCGCAGTTCTTCTGAAGTAAGATTTGTACTTGAAGTCTGTGGAGTATCTTGAGACATATTTCTGGAACTGCCTGAACACAAAATAAAACAGAACAAGAATGGTTTTCAACACCAATTCAAGGAGTATGATACATTTATGCTTATCGCACTACTGTGCTATACGTTTAAGAAAGGCTCTAACATCGCAGGGAAAACCTGACGCAGGCAATCTCAGTTGAAGGTTACGTCCACTGCAACCAAAGCGATCACCCAGCTGCGCTGCAAGCAGACAGGAGAGCCCAAGCGCAGCGGCCAGCCCGGGCTGAGAAAGCATTAGCGCCATACTTGTGTGCTTGCCTTGTCTCACTAGAAATGAAGCTCCGCCTTCAAGCTCGTGGAATTCCAAGGGGAAAAGTAAGAGAACCCATTCTCCATACTCTTCCACCTCTAAACACCTGGGCATCACCACAGCTTATACTGCCAGGTCCACATATGATAATTGTACATTTGCATGCACAAAATGGGAAATAAAGCTGTTAAGATGAAAATGCACAATAACACCTGAAGTAAGCTGGTTCCTCTCTCTCAGGGACTAATCTAGCAGAGTACACAGCACACAGAACACTCAGGTGGCCCTGTGCCACGAGACATTCCGGCTAAACAGCCTCTGCATTCACGGAATTACAATTTTATGTAAACATTTAAGGAATTTAATTGATTAAAAACTTCCTTAAGGGGAAGCAAATCTGGGGCTGACACTGTGGCCTTGTGAGTTAACTTGTACTATCACCCCACATTGCAGTTTTGGTTCAAGTTCCAGCTGCTTCGCTTCCGACAGCTCTCTGCTAACTTGCCCGGGAAGGCATCAGAAGAGGCCCAAGTGCTTGGGCCCCTGTCACCCGTACGGGAGACCTAGACGGAATTCCCGGCTTTGACTGTGCCAGAGCTGGCCATTGTGGTCATTTGGCAAGTGAAACAAGAAATCAAAGATCTTTTTCTATCTTTGGCACTCCTCCTTTCACCTAATATTAAAAGAAAGAAAGAAAGAGTAGAAGCAAATTCATGAGAATTAGATAAAAACAAAACCAGTTCAAGTAAAACTAGCTTTAAGCAAACTTCTTCACTCTCCTCTGAGGCAATGGTATGCCCGATCAGCAGCAGAAAAGCCAGTCCCCCAGAGTGGCCTTAGCAGAATCAGTTTGCGTTGGGATTTTTTCAAATCAACTACTATTCTTTGAACAGGCCCTCCTATTATGTTGCACACATTTATAACATACAACACAATGATAAATGCTTCTGAAATAGCTGGTTGGGAGAAGCATCAACTGACCCCCGCAGATGAGCTTCAGTTGAATGTTATGTTAGCATGGTAGTTTAGCCAACTAAAATAAGCAGAAGGAAAAATATAACTGCATCAGTTAACTATAAGCAATATAGTTCTATGACAAAACAGGTTGTAAAATGTGATGTTTCAAAAAGTCTAAAGCAAAGCTGACTGTATATCGCTATTGCTTCTGCAATAATTGTCCAAGAACTTGTGCGAACAGAACGTTAACTTTCAGGAAAACTAGGGAGAAGTCGGATCAGTCCTTCAACAATGAGTTAAGCGTATATCAGAATGTCTATACCTTGCATACTGAGCTGAATAGCCCTGCGAAGATCTGCCTCTTCATCTTCCATGTCAATTTCCTGGCGACTTAGTGCCAGAGCCCTCTGCAAATCCTCCTCATCTTCGTCTAACATTCCTGACCCATCATCTGCTGCTAAGACTCGTTCCAGGTCTGTTTTATGGACTCTAAAGAACAAAAGCACTCATGGTAACCGCAAACCACTCTATTTCAGACATAACAGAGAGGCATCTACAAACCAAAGATCTTACGGCAAGTCAAAACCAACAAACAAGGTCTAGTTATGTAAAGAGGATGTAGAAATGTCAGTCTAAGTGAATACATTTAATTAATTCAGCTGGATTCAACACATGTCACTAAAGCATTACAGTCTACGAGAGCCACCACCCATTTAAGAGTAACACAGGGTTTAAGTCTTGTAATGAAAATGCTGTAACATCTTATACTCCGTACTTCAGGCTTCATTTTTACCTCTGGTCTTTCAGTTGTGCTAATTCTTCTCCAATAAGTTTTGGTCTGTGCATCTGTTGGACCCTGATCATCTGTAAGAGCTGGTCAGCTTCACAGTCTGGCAGATCACCCTTAACAACAAATATAGAATAACCTAAAAGGGAGGCAAAAGTGAATAGCTGAGGAGAAAGTCAAAACTGAGTTTAGAGCCCCCAGAGAGGCAGAGTAACACAGCACAGTCAAGTAGAAAAAAGAAAAAGAGCTGAGGAGTCGGAACCACCTCTGTTCAAACACCAACTCATAGCAGTAGGGTGACTGAGGTGACACCCAAGTCTCTAAGCCTGCTTTTGTCCATCTGATGAGATGACTGAAACAGCCATCTCACAGGGGACCAGGAGAAACAAAGGAAGCCATGTCTGCCATGGGTCTGACAAACATAGGGGGAGGTCAGCCAGGAGACTCGCTCCCGGGACAGAGGCAGGCAAGAGCAGGTCAGGCAGAGCAAGGGGTCTGGGGCCAGACCACCTTCTTCACAATCTTCTACTTACCCAGGTGCCCAGTTTCTGTCAATCACTTCACCCATATGTTTTTGGTGTCTTTAATTGTTACCTTCAGCTGGTAACTTCCTTATAGGTACCAGGAGTTGGGATACAATCATGTTTTTAATAATGGGCAACAAGGATAAAATGAGTCACCTGTGGGAATAGCTGCCCTGCCCTGAGACAGACACATAACTAAAAACAAGACTGGACGCCAGCACCCCAATCTACTCAAGATGCCACAAGTGTCACTGGAGTTTCCAAAGAATTACAGGCATCTTGTATAATTTTTTATGAACACCATCCTGGAAATAAAGGATTTTCCCAGGTGGACATTCCACACAAAACCAAGGGAGCATGGACTAAGCCTAAGTCAGTTCCACCAGCTTGGATCTTCTCCACAGTCATTTTTCTAAATTTTGTAACTCGTAATGGGAAATCCTGTGGAAGCATTAATAAATAATGAAACAAAGATCAAAAAGACTCCAAACAATTGAGCAGTTATTTCAAGGGTAAATATATTCAGAGGTCAGAGGGCTTAGCATGTTTGCTGCCACTAAAGCTGTCCCAGACCTTAACACTTCCTCGAGGAGTGGATTCTCTGCCTTGTTTACATGGCAGTCAAGACGGTGGGTTTTACTCGACTTTGGACTTTACTCTGCGTGTGCTGGGAGCCACGGAGGGCTCCGAAAAGAGGGGTGACAAGCGTCAACTTTATACAAGCACTCTGAGCAGCTTTCTCAGTAACTTATGAACCAATGCTGAGACAGGAAGCCTGATGGACAGAATGAGGGGAGGAAAAAAGGCAGTCTTTTATATCCAAGTTCAGCTTGATGCTTTCTGCACTTCAAGCGGAGATGTCTAAGCTAGAAGTTAAAATTCTAACTCGGGAACATTTCCCAGGAACGTCTGCACTAGAAGTCTGGCATCTGGAGAGCTGTGCAGGCCAAAGATAAAAGCTTGGCAATTATTGGCATATAAAATCTGATTTAAAGAGAACATTTAAAATAATGGGATGACACATATTCAAAACGAAACCTTGGATCACTTTCAAGAAACTGTGAAGATAAAAAGCCACAAAAGGAATCTGAAAGAAGACAAATGTAGAGTGTGCTTCAAAAAGAGAGGATTGGGCCCAGCATGGTAGCCTAGCAGCTAAAGTCCTTGCCTTGCATGCACCGGAATCCCATATGGGCGCTGGTTCTAATCCCAGCAGCCCTGCTTCTCATTCAGCTCCCTGCTTGTACCCTGGGAAAGCAGTCGAGTACAGCCCAAAGCCTTGGGACCCTGCCCCTGCATCGGAGACCCAGAAGAGGCTCCTGGCTCCTGGCTTTGGATCGGCTCAGCTCTGGTTGCAGTGGCCGTTTAGGGAGTGAACCATTGGATAGAGGATCTTCCTCTCTGTCTCTCTTCCTCTCGGTATATCTTACCTTCCAATAAAAATAAATAAATCTTACAAAGAAAAAAAGTTGCTTTAAAAAATAAAGGTAGGATCCCAGGGTGTACTTTGGCTCAGCAATTCACTCCCCAAGCAGCTGGAGCTGAGCTGATCTGAAGCCAGGAGCCAGGGTCTCCCACATGGCTGCAGGGTCCCAAGGCTTTGAGTCATCCTCAACTGATCTCCCAGGTCACAAGCAGGGAGCTGGATGGGAAAACAGAGCCACCAGGATACAAACTGGTGCCCGTATGGGATCCCATCGCATGCAAGGCAAGAACTTTATCCACTTGCCACTGTGTAGGTCCTGTTTAATTCTACTTTTCCACAAACTTTTGAAGTAATCCCATACTACGTAGTTATTATCCTGTATCACATAAGGAGTAATAATAAAGGAACAAAACTATGTTCTGTACAGATACAGTTATTTTTAAGATCCTCCCTCCATGGCCAGTGAAATCCACAGGAATGGAGGGCCACTGCACAGAGCCAACGCAGCAGCAGTCCAGTGCGCAGAGCACCGTCGCTAAATTCTACCCAAAAGGAACCAGATCTCCCTTGGAGATGAGTTCAAATCCAGGGCATGGAATACACAAGACAAGCTTGTAATACCTTGTTAAATGAGAAAGCAAGCCTTCAAAAACTATCTTAGGGGCTGGCCCTGTGGTGCAGTGTGTTAAGCTTTAACCCGCAATGCTGACTCCTCATAGGGGCACCAACTAGAATCCCCACTGCTCCACCTCTTATCTAGCTCGCTGCAAGCGTGCCTGGGGAAAGCAGTGGAAGACAGCCCAAGTGTGTGGCTCCTGCAACCATCTGGGAAACCCGGAGGCAACTCTAGATCCTGACTTTAGATTGGCCCAGGCCTGGCCATTGCAACCATCTGGGAAGTAAACCAGTGACTCAATGAGTTCTTTCTCCCCTCCTCCCTCCACCCCCCAGGCTGTGTGTGGAGCACTACAAACAGAAGCGCCAGGTGTCAGACTCTAACTGAACCTTTTCATCCAAAGTGGGGCCCGCAGCTCACACCTAAAACACAAGCTTCGTTTCACCGCCACAGCCGACACAATACGGTTACACTCACAACCAACGAGCTTATTTCATTCAGCTATTTTGAAAAACAGCATCACAAAGTTTTCAGTCTTTGTTTACCTTCCTGTTGTAATTGAGCCAAGAAAAGTGCAAGGTATGTATCAGATATTAATTCTGGACCCGTCAAGAGGGAATTCAAGTTAAACCACTGGAAAAGAAAATCAACAGTTTAGTGTGCGTCACGGGTAATGAGGAAGAAAGTTTCACACGGCAGGACACAGCACAGCGAACGCGGCAAAGCTGGCCAACTAGTGGAAATACACTGAACTCAGACGAAAAATAACGGAATAATCTCATGTGACTTCAAAGAAGTCAAAGTATGAGCTCCTTGCTGTGCATTTTAATACACACATCTCTAAAAAAAAACCTGAAATAGTGTTGTAGACTTACTACTAACAAGTATTTCTTAAAAGTTTTAAATCATAATTGAACTCCTCTAAAAAGTAGTAAAATTAAAAGCTGATGGTACAGACGCACCTCAACTTCAGAAGCCGTTATGTCCCAACAAGCCAACTCTTTTCTAAGCTGACATCCTGAGCTGAAAATACAGCTAACAGCCTTGGCCTGTGAGGCTATCATAACCACAGCCCAGTGATCCAGCGCACGAAGTGCCAGGGGCCTACCCTTATGACCGCGTAGCTGACTGCAAGAAACAGCTTGCTGCCACTGTCTGGCACCACAAAGAATTGTCTGCATACTGCTAACTTGAAAAAAAAAAGATCCCAATTTAACATATTGTTTCTAGCTAACATGCACAGCTTTCACACTACCATAAATTTAAGAAAGTCTAAGTGGGGGCAGGCAGTGTGCCGCTGTAAGGCTAAGGTCCCTTTGGAACATGCAGGTTCCATATTAGAAGTCTGGGCTCAACTCACAACTACTTTCAAATCCAGTCTCTGGCCAATACACCTGCAGGCAGGATGAGTCCCTGCCATCCACATGGGAGAACCACACGGAGTTCCAGGTGCCTAGCCAGGCCTGGCCTAGCCACTTGGGGAGTGCATCCAAACTCTCTTATTTTTCAAAAAGATTCATTTTGTTCGACTTGGAAGCCAGAGTTACAGAGACAGAGAACTTCCCCAAGTGTCTAAAAAAGGCCAGAGCTGGGATGGCCTGAAGCCAGGAGCCTTTTCCAGGTCTCCCACACGGGTGCAGGGCCCAAAACCTTGAGCCATCCTCCACTGTTTGCCCAGGCCATCAGCAGGAAGCTGGATGGAAATGGAGCAGCTGGGACTCTAATACCCACAGGGGCTTCTGGGGCTGCATGTGGATTATGTCACCACACTGACCCCTAGTTTTTCTTTTTAAATTCTTTTTTTTTCTTTGCTTCTTTCTCTTTTAAATAATTTTAAAAAGAAAAAAGTAAACAGAAAAAAAGAACCTTTCTAAGAGGAGTTATTATAACAGGGACCGATGCATAACGTGTCCTTACTGATGGCAATAATTAGTCTTTTTCCAAGTAGCAATCCACATAGCTAATAATCTTACTGCTATGAAATAAAATTGAGAACCACACAAAATGTTCCTACTACTTATAATTTTGCCCCAAATACTCCAGTTTTGAGAAAGGCACTCCCAGAAGCAAATTTATAGTCACCAATTTGCTTTATGAAAATTGTTAACCCTCTGTCACAAATAATCCACACCATTTACCAGGATGGGGAACCTGTTTTCTGCCAGTGGCCACTAGATACTTGTAACAGTATTCTTGGATCACAGAAAGCAACCAACTAAAAAACTGGCTGCTTCAGATTTACCACATGTTGAGTCTTGCATATTTGCCTTGGCAGGGCCGAACAAATAATTTTGCTGACCTACTACTTCCCATGGGCTGGTATTCCCTGATCACGACCTAGAAGTTAGATCATAGGAATCCTAATTCAAACCATAGAACCCAGCAAGTTTCCAAAGCTATGGTCATGACAATGTCACTTCAACCACTCGAGCTACGTTGTGACAAGGAAGAGAGTACTTTTTCCACCAATCTCTTTGGTTACACAGGAATCTCCAGTAAGAGTATGGTGAAAAAGGCCAATTTTAAGCAAAAACATTAATTATAACCACAGGCAATAAACTAAAATTTGATGTCTTCTATGTTTGTAAAAAACGTAACAAGTTATGATTAGAAAATAGGATTTTAAAGAATCTCCTAAAATAATCATGTAAGTTTAACTATAACTCAACACAAAGGAAGTTTTGACATCTAAGTCTTCAGATCCTAAACAGCTAGCAATTAGATAGAAAAAGAACATCAGCTCATCATTTCCTTTAAGGAGTAACTAGGATCCCGAGGCTAACACCCCAGGGCAGTGCCCTGCCTGCGCTCCCATGAGTGTTAGCACCCATTCAGAAAGTGCCCACCTGAACCCCTGTACCACAACTATTGGATGGCTCTGAGCACCTCAGATGAACCCTAACACATAAACATGTGGGACAAATCTGCTTCCTACTGGCAGACTTAAAGGTTCACAGTAGGCCATCTGTCTTGAATCATCTTTTACCGATTTAAGTGATTCAATGAACTCTCTTGTTGACTACATTTATCTTTTAAAATTCACTTTCCTTTTTAAAACCACTTGCTACATACAACCAACTTGCAAAAAACTTGCACAGTTCACATCTGTAGCTCAAGGGGCTGAACAACTGTACACAGCTGTGAAGCCATCACTGTGCGCACCTCCTGTTCGTTGGCCTTCCCCTCTGTGGCTCTGCCGACTGCCTCTTCTGGCAACTGCTGGCCCACAATACTTTGCTACCACACATGATCTTGCACCTGTCTAGCCTTTTACATAAATGGGAACACAGAGTATGAAGTATTTGGATCTGGCTGCTGCTTTCTTTCAGTAAGGTCTGAGATTCATCCATGCGATGCCATGACCAAGAATGTATTCATAACCATTACAACAGCCACATTCCCCATAACCCTCTTTCAAAGATGCAACATTCTAACAAAAGAATTTTAAATAATTTTTACTAAAAAAAGAAAAAGTTTGGTCCAGACTAGGTCCATTTTTTAAAACCAGAAATTATTTTATGTACATATATTTATGACATGACATGTTAGAATTCCATGAGCGATCTTGCTGTATCAAAATCAACATGGCAATGTTCTCGTTCACACCTGATCCTGCTAAAGACTTTAAGACAGTACAATGTCAAATATAAATTTGAAAATGTAATAACTCACAGGAAATCACATAAAATCCTACTTAAAGGTAATGATATCTATTTTAGCTTTTTTTTTTTCTAGTTAAAACTTTTTATTTTGAACTTACGGTACAACTCTATAGGGTTTGGGATTTCCCAAATCTATTTTATGTTAAATATAGAAGTTCTCCAAATATATACCTGAATTGTATATAGTTATCACATACAAATCTGTAAGAGAAATTGCTGCTACCTTCTAAAACTGGAAATTTCTGTTAAGATTGAAACCATACCTTACACATATATTACTGATAAGTTTCTCAATTAGTTTGCCAACTCACACTAATCCCTTCTATTACAAATGGAATATAGGATAAAGAAAAGAAAAAGATAAAAGGAAGAAAATTGTTACCTGTTTTCCTAATTTTCTAACAGTAAACCAATGTTCTTTATAATTGCATATAAATGATCTTTCATTTCTGAAAAACAAAAAATATGATATTAAGCTGAAACATTAATAGCTTACATACATTTATTTTGTCTATTAGTATCATACAAAATTTGTGATAACTTAGGATTACATTTAGAGTTAAGCATCAATGACTTTGAAAAACAAAACAGTTCCATGAGCATGCATACAGCAGCTTAGAAATGTGGCGCCAAGGCAACCTGCCTAATGTGACCCCCAGGGCCAGCTCTGCGCTGCCAGGGAGGGGGTCAGGAGGACCCAGGGATGGGCAGCTGTCAGGGACATCAAAGGTACAATGGCAAAGTTGGAGAATATGCAACAAGGAACATGAGAAGTACCCACAATATGATATTCGTGAAAAAAAAATGTAATTTTAAAAGCCAAATGTAGGGAAAGAAACAAAAACAAAATGATCTTACATAGGATCGATTCTGAGCCTCTGATATTCTGGACTGTTGAACAGGATTAGTTCCAAACCCCAAACTTTCAAGGCATTGCTTATAACCTGTTAAAAACAAATGGCAACTTTTCATGAGCAGAACTATTCTTTCAAATTTAAGGAATGTAGCCAGATAAGTCGACCAAACCATTGTATTTTTTACATGTTTCTAGAAGATTATATTATTTTTATAGAATTTATTTATTTGAAAGGCTGTCAGAGAGAGAGGAGAGAGAGTGAGAGAAAAAGAGATCTTCTTCCAGCTGGTTTACTCTTTAAATGGCCACAATAGGCTGGGTCAGGCCAGACTGAACCCAGGTGCCTGGAACTCCATCTGGGTTTCCTGAATGACAGGACCCAAGTGTTCAGGCCATTCCCTGCTGTTTTCCCAGGCACATTAACAACAGGGGGCTGCATGGGAATGAACGCAGACATACTGGCACCCATATGGAAGGTCAGCATCACAGGTGGCAGCTTAACCTGTGGTCCTACAATCCTGGCCCCACGAAGGCTGATTATTAAAAAGTGTTAACTACACAGCTACCTGAGTCCATAACACATATACATATTAAAAACGTATTTATTTACTTATCACAAAGACAGATCAGATTTTATGCAGAGGAATGACAGAGAAGATCCTCTATTCACTGGTTCACTCCCTAAACAGCTGCAGTGGCCACAGCTGAGCTGAGCTGAACTGAAACCAGGAGTCAGGAGATTCTTCCAGGTCTTCCACATGGGTTCAGGGTCCCAAGGCTTTGGGCAATTCTTCACTGCTTTCCCAGGCCACAAGCAGAGAGCTGGATGGGGTGTGGAGCAGCTGGGACATGTATACATTCAGCACGTACACCTGAACAGCCTAGCTGTGAAGTGAGTGATAGCGGCTAGGTCCATGGAAGCACACCCTAGGATGGCCGCACCCCGAGGACCCTGCCGAACGATGCCTTTCTCGGAATGGGTCCTATCGTCAAGGGACACATACACATATCGCAGAGTAGAAAAATGCTATATGTGTAAAAACAAGTCATGATCCATAGACCATCACAGAGAGATTCAGCTGTGACTCAACTGGAAGGCAGCAAGGTATTGCAGCTTCCCAAGTTAACCAAAACAGAGTAAGTACAAAATGCTGTGACTTACTACTGTGATTTAAGGCTATTAATAGTGGATGCAAATTAAATAATCTCGCCCAGCTAGTGATTTTTAAAAGCTGAGAGAGAAATGGAGGAGGAGGGACAGGGGTTGGGAGAATCTTCCACCCACTGGCTTACTCCCCAAATGGCTGTAACAGCTGGAGTGGTCTGGGTTGAGCCCAGGAGCCAGAAACTCCATTAAAGTCTCCTCCACGGGGGCAGGAGCCCAGGTATTTGAACTATTTCCCACTGCTTTCCCTGGCAAAGTAGGAAGGGACTGGATGGAAGTAGAGCAACTAGGACACAAACTGGAACTCACACGAGATGATGGTGATGCGATAAGCAGTGGTTTAACTTGCTGCATCACAATGCCAGCCCCCTAAAAGCCCAATTTTAATGCAAAATCTAGAATCCTGATGTTCACATTTCCCTGTGTAAAAATCCACTCCTAGAAAACAACCCTGACCTCTGTGGAGACAATCTCTGGAGGAAACTGTGAAGGTTACGTCTTCACGGCGACCATGAGAGGCTAATGACACTCCAAATGAACCACACAGCTGACAGCGCTGGAGAGAGACATGCACAATCCGAGTGTGCGCTTGCGCCAGCTCACCTGAATGGAGAAGAAGCCACTGTCATCCATGTTTCCGGAAGGCTGCTGTTCATTGGGACAGAGAGGGGGTGGCGCAGGACGAGGAGAGGCAGGGAAAAGCTCATTAGTGTGGCTATTCAAGTACTGTGCTATACATCCCGTTTACAATGGCAAGAGCAGAGTTAGAATTAACAAGTCAGCTCTCAGGAAAAACTGCTCTTTTCTAAAGTCTCCCCGACCCAAAAGAAGACTGAGTTCAAAACCAGAACCTGCAGAAACGTTCGATAGTCTTCACTGGTGACGCCGCCCTCTGCCATCCTCATCCTCTCCTCTTCATCGAGCTGATGTGCGATTGAGGACAATTCCACAGGACTAAAGTATTCTCCTTGCAAAAGATTATTCAGGCAATGCTGAGCACAAAGTGAGCCTTCTTGCTAACATTCACAAAAGAAAAAAACCACAGGTGATTTATTAAGATGTGATTTATCAAATTCTTTTTATAGTATCTTCCGCTAAAGGATTTAGTTATTATCTTTTTAATATTGTCAGATTAAATGTTTTAAGTCTCAGACAAACATGAATAACATGTTGTGATTTGTTGATCTTTATTTTACAATGTTATCATCAATGAAACTACAATTATTTAGCTACATGATCCAGAAAGCTAACAGTGACTTAAAATGGAACATTATCACCTATTAAACACATAGAATATCACAATTTATTCAAAACTACTCTACAGAAACACTTACTAACCTTTTCAGTATCTAAAAGAAAGTCACCTTTGGAGAATCCATGGCAAATGAGTAATGCTAGAAGCATTGTAACAAACATCTGGTTTGTGACAAGCTCTCCTGGTCCTACATCCTTGTCCATGGGATTTCAAAGCTCAACAGCCAACACAGCTGAGAATCACTCCACATCAAGACTCGCAGCTCAGGGTTGGCAGTGCGGTGCAGCACGTCCCACTGCTGTTGGGATGCCAGCATCTCATACAGGCGCACCAGTTTGAGTCCTGGCTGCTCCACATCTGATCCAGCTCCCTGCTGATGCGCCTGGCAAAAGCATCAAAAAATAGTCCAAGTGCCTGGGCCCCCACGTGGAAAACCTAGTCAAAGCACCTGGTCCTTGCTTTCAGTCTGGCCCAGTTCTTGTAGCTGTGACCATTCAGGGAAATAAGGAACAGACGGACATTCATTCACTCATATTCTCTCTCTCCCGCGTGTGTGTGTGTGTGTGTGTGTGTGTGTGTGTATGTCCCTCCATTTGTAAATGCGTCTTTAAAATAAATCCTAGGAAGGAAGGGAGAGAGGGAGAATTAAGGGAGAGAGAGGAGACAGAAAGAAAGAGAAAGAAAGGAGAAAGAGAAAGAGAGAAAGGAAGGAAAGAAGGAAGGAAGGAAGAGACAGAGAGGGAGTGAGGGAGGGAGGGAGGAAAGAAGGGAGGGAGGGAGGGAGGAAGGTAAGAAGGAAGGAAGGAAGGAAGGAAGGAAGGAAGGAAGGAAGGAAGGAAGGAAGGAAGAAAGAAAAAGAAAAAGTTCTGGGAGCAGGTGTTTGGTCCAGTGGTTAACATGTGGCTTGGGTCACCTCACATCAAAGACCTGCGTACCACCTCACAGCTCCAGCTCCTGAGCCCAGCTTCCTGATAAGACAGGGCCTGCAAGCAGCAGGCGGCTGCCCAGGTTGGAGATCTAGGTTGAGCTCCTGCCTCACTGCTAGCTGTTTCAGGCATCTATGGAGTGCACCAGCCAAGGAGAAACCTCTCTGTCTTTCAAAACAAATAAACAGTAAAAACTAAAAACTGAGACTTGGCATTCCAAAGCTGGCATTTGCTTCAGAGAAATCTGCAGACAATGTGCCCAATGCACTGCATTGAGCAGTGCTGTTCCAAGGAGGTCCCTGGAGCTCACCCCGGCACAGCTGGGAAGAGGGACCGAGTCCCCAATGAGTTCACCACTGGCCTCCTCTTCCCAGGCAGCGGGTGAGGAGGCTGCAGCTTTCCATGGGTCCATGCGTTCCTATACAGCAGCAGCCCAGAGCTCGCCCAGGCCTCCTCCTCCCAGCAGCGCTTCTTCCGCAGGCTGCCCTACCACATGGGAGACCCCTGGAGCTGCAGGAACTCTCCCAGAAACACAGAGCCTGCATCTGCCCCTCAGTGACATAATGGCAAATGTGACAATATTTGTTTCTTCTGTTAACCCTGGTTAGCAAAGCTCTTTCTTTCCCTAGTAAGGTCTCCTCCTTACACTGTTGAAAAGCAGGCAGTTTATTCTGAGCTATATCACATGCTACATGGTGACTCCAAAAGCATCACCCTGAAAGATACACCATTTGGGGCTAGCACCGTGCACAGCAAGCTATGCCACAGCAGGCTAGGCCAAGCCTATAGTACCAACATCCCATAGGGGCACACGTTTGGGTCCAGGCTGCTTCACTTCCTGATTCAGCTCCCTGTGTATGACCTGGGAAGGCAGCAGAGGATGCCTCAAACCTTTGGGTCACTGCACCCACGCAGAAAATCCACAAGAAGTGCCCAGGTTCAGAACAGTCCAGTGCTGGCCATTGTGGCCATTTGAGGGAACCAGTAGATGGAACATTCTCTTTCCTCTCTGTAATCTGCTTTTCAAATGAAAATTAAATCTTTTTAGAAAGTAAGAAATATACACCTTTATTTTCCTCTGATGGATCAGTTTCTTCTAAGAACAAAATTTAGCCATTGAGAAGACCTAGGGTGCATTACAAAAAGGGATGGAAAGGTAGCACTGGGGCAGATGCTTGGCGCAGTGGGCAAGCCACCTGCATCCCATTCTGGAGGCTGGATTCAAATCCAGCTTCCTGCTAAGGGCTTCCTGGTGACAGCTCAACTACTTGAATCCCTGACATTTACAGGAGACACCAGACACCTGATTCTGTCACAGACATTCTGGGTATGAACTAGGCGATGCAAGAACTTTTCTTCTAACTTGTAAACAATTAACAGTGAACAAATAAACTTTAAAAGGGCAGCACAAGATAGTTTTTGAGTCTGGAGCAGAGGGTATCACAGATTCATTTCCTGGTTCTGGTAGGGAGCAGCAGCTTGGAGCTGGAGAAGACACTATCCCGCCCGTCACAGCAGCAGCAGTGAGAGAAGACTTCTTTCACTCTATTTCTGCTGTCAGAGAGTAACTCCCACTAAGTCATGTGTGAAAGGAAGGGACATAGAGATGCTCTACTTACATTTACTGAAAATAGGTAAGAAAGCAAGCATATCACAAGTGCTGAACAGCTAAAACACAAAAAAGGAACTCGGCTACACTAGGCATCACAGAAACACACATTACACCCACAGCGTGACGAAGGGGCTTAGCAAGGACACTGGTCCAGACGACCGGCCCCCATATTGGAGTTCTGGTCTCGACTGGCTCCTGCTCCAAGCTTGCTGCTCAGGTCAACCCTGAGAGGCAGTGGGGGAGGGCTTCCTGGAGCTGGCTGCCTGCCACCAAAGTGGGAAACCCAGACTGAGTTCTGGGCTCCCAGCTTGAACCTAGTCCAGCCTCTGACCACGGCAAGCATTCAGGGAGTGAGCCATCTGATGGAAGCTTGCTCACTCTGTCTTTATTTAAAAACGAAACAAAAAAATCTAGAGCTACAATGGTATAAAGGGTTAGACACACAGACTGCTCTGTGCTATGTATGGATGTATAAACCAACACAACGACTTTGGAAAGTCATTTCTAGTGTCTCTACTAAAGCCTACCACACACACCTTTAATTCGGCAGTTCCACTACTAGGCACATCATGAAAAGACCAGAAATGCAAACATGTGCTCATCATGAGTTACGTAACACAATGTTAGGAAAAGCAACACTTCCTAATGGTCCCCAAATGGAAAACCACACAAATGTAACAGTTTAGATCACAGTATAATGAGTAAAATGGAATAGAAAAAAACAAAGGAACTCAATATAACAATGGGAATTAATTAACTTCTACTACCTGCAAGAATATAAATATTATCTGTCAAACAATGTTTCAAAATGAAGCAGCCTCAAGCAGCCTGCCTTAGCATGGTCACTTCATCCCAAGGCACCACCTGGAGAGGCCAGCTCCAAAGGAGGAGGAGTGGCCTCTCAAAGGGCAGTCTGGGCTATCCACACTCACCCAGTGGAGCCTAGCACACGTGGGACTTAGGCTACATCCCACTTTCCTGCTGTGGCTCAGGGCTGGACCCATGCCCACAGCCAGAAACTTGATCAGACTTCGGCAGAGTGAGCAAGCATGTTCAGGGCCCCTGGGTGAACACCTGGACGATCTACCTGCAGCCTGGTGGCACCTGCAGCCTGGTGTTCTGTTGAAAGTGGTTACGAGAGACGAAGGCAGCTGGGGACACATGGTATGGGGTGTTGCTGCTGAGCTAAGACTCAAATAGGTGGCTGACAAGTGAGAGGTGTCAGGCAGAAAATTAAATAAGTAAAGCAGACTTACTGCAGGACTGTGTTTATAAAACCTTTGTAATGGGCAAAATTCACCTGTGGGGTTAGAGCTAAGGACAGCAGCTACTCTGGTGGGGTGGGTGGGGGGCAACGCTGGAGGGATTAGCACCAGCAGACCACTCAGACATTGTGAGAGATGCCTGCAGCCCCACCTGCTGCGCCTCCAGTCCCAGCATCCTACTGCTGCACCCACAGGAGGTAGCAGTGATGGTCCATGACTTTGGTCCCTGCCAAGCACGTGGCCCGCTTGGAATGAGTAGGCTTGACTCAGTCCCAGCAGCTGTGGGCATTTAGGGACTGAATCAGTAGATGGAAGATACTTCTCTTTGCTTTTCAAATACATAAATATCTTTACAGAGAAATCAGCTGTTGAAATCAAACCTTGCCCAAGTTGAACTCTTTTTGGCTGTACGAAATATCAAGTCATGTATTTTAAAGGAAATGAAGAACAAACTGTTCAGTCCAAGGTTAAAAATGACTTGAAGTTACAAGACAGATCAAAACGAATAGCAACCAACAAGACCAATGGCCCTAAGATAACACGTTTCCCTGCCCCAACCACACCCAAGCTGTCCCCAGTCTCCTCACTCTCATTTGACCAGAGTAGGAGAGAAGTTCACTCTGCCTTGAAGTTTGTGAGGTGGAATTCCCAGGATAGTGAGCACAGCCCCTCCTCTGCTGTGCTCAGAAAGTCAAATCCACAAGAGGAGAGGAAAAGACAGAAAGGTCTTTCTTTTGGTGATCCACTCCCCAAATGGCTGAAATGCCAGAGCTGGACCAAGCCAAAAACAGGCGCTTCATCCAGGACTCCCACGTGGGCAGTTGGGGCCCAAGCACGTGAGCCATCTGCCTTCCCAGGTGCAGTAACAGGGAACTGGATTGGAAGTGGAACAACCAGGCAGGGCCAATACGGGATGCCAGCTTCACAGGCTTAACCTGTTAAACCACAATGCCAGTGC